ATAAATGTACTAAAGGTAATTGTCTATTATTGATTGGCTTTTTGGAAGCAGGCTAGATTACGCATTGCAAATGGTCGAATGTAAGATTACGAGGGTGCCTTTATTTATATATGATCAAAAGGCTGCACTGTGCTAGATTGAACATGTGTTAACAATATTCGATAGTTTTAAAATGCACAAGCCAAATATACTGTCAGATCATTGAAAAACAGAATTTTCTTTTGAATATTTTTATTGGTATAGTAAACATGAAGATAATGGATATAACAAATTGATATGTAATATTAATGATAGTAATTCTTTTATAAATGGGATTCTGACATAAAAGATGTCTTTTTATTTTCTAAACAAAGTGATGAATTTATAACGCATCTTTTTGAGTTCAATAATAAAATTAATAGTACTACAACACATGTTGAATTTGATAATTTGTTCAATGTTTTGAATATGTATGTATTTGGTAAATATAGTACAGTTGATAGTAGTTTTAATAAGTATGATCATCGAAATCAGGACGCTGCATTATACAGTTATATATGTGAAAACAATACAGTAGATTGTTTATAATAAACTTTGTGTTTATAGAAGGTTTAAGATAGAATTGAACAAAATAAATATTATACAAGCAAGAAATATATACAAAATGAGAGTCCGAGTTTTTCAATTTGTAAACGACAAGAGTAGAACACAGAAATTAATGTTGTCAGCACGTTATAGCAATGCCAAGTTATATTGGCAAATGTTGAATGAATGTATTTATTAGAAAGGTCCGAAAAGAATTTCACTTGATTCTTTTACATAATATTTAAATCAATTTATAACCCCGATAAATGAGTTTTTAAGCAGACAAAGAAGTTACAAAGTTCACAAATCGTATTTTAGATAACGGGTTTAAATTATGTTGAATGAACTGGACTTACCTTTTACTATGTGAGAAATATTACAGAGTATTACTGACCTGAATTTAGGCCGTAGTTTTAGTCTATGGAAAGGTTATTTTAGCTTTACATATTTTGAAATTATTTAATAAAATTTCTGAAAAAGGTTACCAGCGTCATAGAGTGAAGGACATATCATTACTATACATAAAAGTATTATTAACAAACGACTTACTTTATTGGCTGAAAATTACTATATACATCTTTATGTTGAACCTTAAGAAGGTTTTAAAGCTAAAATGGGACTGTGTCATTTTATTTATTGTGTCTTTGTTGATTTTTCTAAAGCCTTTGACTACTTAGTAAGACCGAATATATTTGGATTAAATTATTCAAAGAAGGTGTAAGGGGTAAGTTATTTTATATAATTCAAGCAATGAATCAATGTACGTTCATGAGTAAAATTATATGGTGAGAAATATTCTATTTTTGTCAGTTATCTGGGAGTTATATTTGGCGCATCTTTGAGTCCTTTTCTGTTTCATATGTATTTAAACGACTTAGAAGAATATTTTATCATCAAGGGTGCAAACGGTATTAATACGAGGGGTGATCACTGGTTCAATATCTTTGAAACGGACCCATATAAAATATTTTTATTTATATCACTGTCGTGACCTATCTCTTTGCCGTTTACAAGGAGCTGTATATCAGTCATGCATTACTCAGAGCAGAATAACTAGCATAACTGTAACTAAAGTAACGCGTTACTGGCCAAGGTGCTATTTTTATATATAATTGCTTTATTCAATGCATTATAATTTCGACACTGTTTATCAAAATAACAGAAAAATGCGGGAATATGTTTTCGGACGTTTGTATGACGTCGCATAAAAATTTGACGTCATTTGACATTAGATAAGGAAAATAAACAATGTTTAAACCATAGTAACCCGTTACGCAGCTACGTTAAAAATGACATCACAAGAACGCCCTGAATTGCGTGCCAACATTCAGTTCTGCATGGAATTAGGTGAAACGCCTACAGACACATATAAAAAGCTGCAGAGGACCAGAGGAGAGAATGCTGTTTCTCAAGCACTCGTTTTTAAGTGGTTCCGGCGATTCTCTGAAGGGCGAAAGTCACTTGAAGATGGTGAATGGCGTGAAAGAAGGTCGAGCGTCAAGCCGTCAGATGTGACGTCAATTGAAGATTTATCAAGGAAGACGCAAGAGTGACCGTTCGAGGGATATCAGAAGTAATTGGGATGAGCTATGGAACCACGCACACAATTATCACCAAGAAATTGAACATGCGAAAGGTATTTTATGTGCATTAACTTATGTTTTTTTGTTTTAATCACTCTACAACCTATTAGGTTTCGAATATAAAAAATCAAATTTTCCGCGCTAATTTATGATTTCGCTGTTACAGTATTGTTATAAACAATAAAATGCACGGATACACATTTGTTTCAAACATGCTGCGTAATTCAAATTTATAAACAATGTATCAAAAACTTAAATAATTTTACAAAATACCTTAATATTTGCTTATCCGTTTGATTTCTCAGTGTTCCCAGATTTGAAACGCCAGCTGAAGGGCCAGCGCTTTGAGAATTTGGAGTTACAGTCAGCGACAAACATCCTAATACGTCAGTATCTAGCAGAGTATTACAGGAATATATTCTTTTCTAAGTGGCCTAAGAGGCATGAACGTTGAATTGCATGTTCTGGCTCGTACTTTGAACAAGACTGAATGTCATGCGCTTTTCCTTAAACAATTACGTCGCAGCGACGTCGCTGACGTCAAGAGTTTTTTGACGACGTGGGCCGGTACCGCGATAGAGACACATTTTCATGGTTTGTTATTCCGAATTATGTAAACATATTGTAAAACAAAATTGCATGTTGTTTGTTGATAAAACGTACTTTCATGTGATATAAGTTTTACTTACGTTTGTCAAACAATAAATAAGATATTGAGCCAGTCTACGTAATTCTTGATCACCCCTCGCATATGAGCATTGAAACTATTTTTATTGATGTATGCTGATGATATTGTTCATTTAACAAATTCTGCTGAAGAAATACAGACTGGTTTTGATATTTTACATGAATTTTGTTCTAGATGAAAATTAAGCTTAAACAATTTAAGATAAAACCAAAGCGTTATTATTTCGAAAAGGGGGCTTTTACCAAATAACCTTGCTTTTTATTATGATGTAAATACTTTAGATATCGTCAATAAGTATACGTACCTAGGAATTGAATACGTACCTAAGAATTGTTAAGTAAAAATTATATGTCTAGGTTTGTTAATTTGTCTTGAGAACATGTCTTAGACCTTCCTGATAAACTAATTTAGCCAGTCCTTATTTATGGTGCTGAGGTGTGGGGCTTTTTACAAGTAAACCACATTGAAAGGGTGCATACAATGTTTTGCAAACGAACATGAGGTGAGAAAGTAAGCATACAAAATAATTTTATATATGGCGATCTTGGAAGAACGGACCAATATAGTCTAAGAATTGTGTACATTTTAAAATATTGGTTAAAAGTAACTAACAGCCCTGAAAATAAATATATATTATATACAGTCGAACTTCGTTCGCTCGAACTCGGAGGGTCTGTGAAAATATGTTCGAGCGATCGGTAGTTCGAGCCAATCGAGGTTGAACTATTATTACATAGAACACATATCTAAAGGTTTTCCAGCTTACATAGGTCAAATGATAAATACGTCAATATAATTGTTGTTAGAACATCTGTTTGTCGAATACGTCATATTAAGAATTATTATCCTATTGGAAACAATATTAACGGTACACTATGTTAATCTATATTTATGCATATTGTAATTGGTTGAGTTCGATTGAGCGATCATTATCCAAACTGTGAACAATGTTCAAAATATATTTATATGTCTATTATGAAATCAATTTTATTTTAAACAATGAATTAATTAAATGTAAAAATAACATTTTACAGCAGCATATATTTGTAGTCATTTACTAAAATAAACACGTACATGTATCATTATATAAATAGATTACACTGACAATTCACGATACATGAACCACGATTGTAATTAAAGCCGTCCGGGTAAACGCCATTTATTTATTGACTTTTGCGCATTTCAGGAGTTGTTTTCTTTTTATCGTTACTCAAGACGGCAAATATACAATTTTATCATAACAAACAAATCGGTTACAACACCTTTTATTTTGTATCAATTAACCTTAATTTCCTTTGTCACGATCACGAGGTGTTAAAAACATGTGTCACCGACTGTCAATTATTTAGAACATGTCGACCTGCAACTTTTGTTGTCTGTTTGTGTTCGACCGAAAAGGTGTGATTTACACTATATTTCTGCCGAAGGGACCAGAGATCATGTTCGAGCGATGGGTGTTCGAGCGATCCGAGGTAAAACAATATATATTATATAGGAGTTTTGCCGGGACTGGACGATGAGTTCGAGCGAAAGGAGGTATTCGAGCGATCCGAGTTCGAGCGAACGAAGTTTATATATAAAATGATGTTAGATGACATTGAAAGTCAACCTCAAAAATCAAATTTGGCTTCACGTGTTTAAAATATTTTATCGACACTAGGTTTTTATCATGTTTGGCTAGAACAGGAAGTATGAGATTCTCACATATTTGTACATATTTGTATCAAGAATAAGAGATGTTTTTGTCCAGGGATGTCAAGGTAGGATTGATATCTCAACTAGAGCTACGTTTTATCATCTATATGTAGTTTGGTTTTCAACCATAAGTTTAAATACTAATGTCACTAAACAAAGGTAGGATTGATATCTCAACTAGAGCTTCTTTTTGTTATCTATATATAGTTTTGGTTTCACATACCTTTAAATATTTATGAGTGTAACCTGTTATGGCGCAATAGCGTCGATTAAATCTTTCTTTATCTTCAAAAATGACATAAACATTTATCAGTGTTACTATTTTATTTATAGTCTAAGTTGCCTAAGTAGTCTAAATACCTGCTACATATACCTATGTGTATGTAAATGCAATGGGATTCCATTTATTTATGTTTAAAAGTCCAACATATGAACTATAAAGTGATTATTTTCTGATCAAATTGACACGAAGTATCTTACGCAGTAAATGGATGTGTCAGATAACAGCCAGAGGGATTAAAATGAAATAGTTTTTGGAACAAAACTGGAATCGAGAAATACTATCTCTATTTTTTAATCCATACTATTTGAATATGATACAAAGATACATTTAAAGAAAGAGTCGCAAGAACATATTGTGAAATGTTACGCTGAACAGAGACAGGTGCTAATTGTTGTACTTTCAGGAGACGCTATTCTTGTAACAGACAGTGAATTGTTTAATATATTGTTAAACAAAATAAAGCGAAACATTGCGGACGGTAAACAATTTTGGCACATGGATACTGACATTTTTCTAGCAACGTTTTTTCTTTATCAAATGGATCATGATACAAAAGACAATGCTAGCAAGTACACCCTCAAAATACACCATTAGCAGCAAATAAAAACTATACAAAAAGAAATGATAACGTATCAACAAGTGGTAAGGTCATAAAATTCTATTTTGAGATTTAAATAAAAAGTGCATGGATGGATAGATTTATCAATATTAAATAAATGTACAAATGATGTATCATATTTTCTATTTCGTAAATGTACATCTAGGTACAAACACCTTTATACTTTAAACTCGTGGAGTATATAAAACATTTACACAGTTCGATAAAATAATTCAATTTCAAGAAAACGTTCAATACTTGTATAGTTAGATTTAATGCGTAGCCCCATTAGCATAAATATTCAATAAAGAAAGTTTACATAATCGTCAATAATACGTCCCACTTCTTTGCATAATCATATTTCAATTTTACGTTTAAAATGATATATTTATGATAATTATTATAAAATTATTATAACTTTAAAAGTACTACAGGTAATATAAGAGGGTACTATTTTTAATTAATTGATTTTCGTCTGCTTGCCTTTGAATGGCTAATCAGTGAAACTTTAACACTTTGACAAACACAGTGAACATATCAAATAATTATCAAACTTTATTGACATATATTTGACAGACCAGACGGTTTCACTTAATAAGAAGATTAGCAAGCTATCAGAAAAATTGATACAGATATAAATGCATTCGTCGCACAATAAACGACGCAAAAATTAGTGAACTTTTTTTCGGGAAGACGCGAATTCATGTTGACGCGAAATAATTTTTTTGGACATTTTGCCTCAAATTCGCGAAATAAAGTTCTCGCGAAAATTAAATGTTTTTTACAGTATATGATCTCGATGGCTGAAGAACATAAAGGATTTTTTTACAGTCTTTGTAAAACGAACTCGAGCAAAATTATAGTATAAATACACAAAAAGGATACGGTATTTCGGTCTCACCTAAAAATAAACATATGACGGGTTTGTAGACTTAGTTTATATCGTGTAAAAGTCCACCCAAATTAAATAACATTTAAACAGTTCATTTTTAATACATGTATACTTATGCTTTTAGAAGATTAGCATGTGGACGGTATTATAGATTGTATTACAATTGCACTTAACTTGTCTTTGTTTTTCAGTTTAGGTTTTATTGGATGCAAATTAACACATTCTTTACTACATTATAAAAATACAACCTTTGTATTTGTTAACACATGAGGTTATATTGTAGAGCAAGTTTTACTCCTTATTAACTCCTAGGTTATTGTAAAAAATCGCCAAGGTCGTTCGACTGAGAATGTGAAACGTTAGCACAACAGAAGATGTTCTGTTATCTTATGAAGGCGAGTAGCTATAAAGACTACATAGCTGCTTGTTTTATCACCACTCTGAATTCATGATAAGTCATATTCGACAGTAAATTTGACGTAAATGTAACGTGAATACATTTTTCATTGTCTTAATATATCTTTCAATTAAATAATACTTATTTTTTTTATTTCAGGCGCTTTCAAAACTAAGGCCTCCTACTCCTCGGCGTCATCACTCAACAACCTTCATTGAAGCAGATAAGCGTGACATATTTGATGAGGATATATATGTTCCCAGGATACCAAATGACAAAAAATTATACAAAAATAAGTCATATCCTCCTAGCTCACCTGACGAAGACAAATATCCTAGCGAAGTATTGGAGATTGATGCAACCATGTACTCATTTGAACGATATCCAGGACATATATTTACTATACCATCGGCTACAAGATCTGAATCTGGTCAAACAGGCTTTTCAAACCAAGGAGAGGTCAATAGTTCAATAAGGCTAGCAACAATGCAAAGACCTAAGATCACCTCTTTTTCTGGAATTCCATATTTTTCAAAACCATCTAGATATACAGAATATCAGGATCAGAAGAAGAGATATGACTCATTCCAAACTCCGAAATGGTTGACTGATTACAAGCCTGATATTAATCTCCTAGTAGGGTGTGGATTTTTCTTTACAGGTAGAGGTAATATGATATAATATAATTTGCAAAGAAATACTTCATTTACTCATGATCTGTCATAGACTTGTTTATTTAATATCAAAAATGTCGTTAGAAAAATGGTCTAATTACCGTTGCAACGACTTCAAAATATTGTTTTGGCCATCAGTCATAACACATCTGTTCACAAGATAAACTATATATTATTTTTGCAAATATTTAAAATCAACTTATGTATCATTTTAAGAAAACAACGACTTGGTAAGATGCTATCATTGTGGTATTGGATTAAAAGACTGGACCATAGAAGACGATCCCCTTACTCAGCACGTAAAATATTCATCAACGTGTGATTTCCTCAATTGGAGATATGGAAAACCCAAAGTAGAAAGAACTAAGGTATCTGTAATATGAAAACAAGAATTGTTCGTACCCATTGCCGAAAGTAACTGCATTGTTTGCACTGAGATTAAGAAATTTATTTGATAGAACAGCGTTACTATTGTTGTTATGTCACTTCTTACTATGTATATAACGACATTTGAAACTTTATTGTATAAACGACACATTATTAATTTGTAGACAGTAACTTTCAACAGTTCACAAGAATAACATTAATGTTTCAACAAAAATCACTGTCGTATTTATAGCCATGAAAACGCCCTGTATGATATTCGTATAAAGGCATGAAGTCAATGGATATTTGAAATGGTAAAAAGGTACAAGAATGCACCTTTTGGTGCAAAAGAACGTCATATTCTATGATGAAATGATTCTTTAGACTCCCTGATCGAAATATAAAAAGAAATTGAATAATCAAGATATTAATTACTTATTTTTTTCTCTATAATTATAAAAAGGACATTAAAGGTTATGTACAGATGAATCAGCATTACTAGTCGTGCATAATCAAAATTCATATTTAAATCAAACAATTGAAAGTAAAAGAAACAAATCCTCATGTGATACACCATTTAACAAATATTCCAACATAATTTAAATCAATACATTTTCACTTAATATTTTAGAACATGTTTTTGGAGAAAATTCATATAAAAATACAATAATGTGTTCTCTTTGTAGGCGGCACTGACAAATGGTAAGAGTTCAAATAATTTATCTCTGAAATCAATATTTGGTTTGTCAATAAAAAGGACAGTATGTCATTAGATTTATGGTACCCTAAGAGATAAGAAGTTTTGCTGATATTACAAATGATAATGGTCTTTATTGGGTCTTTATCTAAGTCTTTAAACGTTATAAATTCTTAAATGACACTTACATAATTATATTAACATATAAATCAATGTTACAATTTCATAAAATGATTTTTAAAACGAAATATATATTATGTCTCAAGCAAAAAGCTTTGCGTAACAATTTTAAGATCACAATCTTATATCTCTCACATTGAAGGGGAAGAAAGAGTAAAAATCATTGAAGTATGTCAAGAAAGAATGACTCATGTTTTAACGTATATGCAGTGAATGTCTTTGTTATAAATAGAGCAATTTTGATATTTGTCAACAGAATCCAGATCACCACCCCCAAGCTACACTATCAGGTCACCACGTTATCAGACAATGAAAGCAAGACTTGCATCATTTGAAAACTTTCCTAGCGGCAACTGCATTCCTCATCAACAACTGGCAGTAGCAGGTTTATTTTTCACTGGTAAATTGATTTGTGTTTTCAGCTTTTACATTGTTCAACATTATTTCCCCGACTAAATGTTAATTATAACAGTTATGTTTTGCTATGTTAATTATATGATAGAAATGACTTTTATTGTGCTTTAAGAAATTTTAAGTTTATTTGATTTTTTACATTCAACAGGGTTATAAATTTGTTAGAAAACGGGTAGAATTCTGAATTCAATACAAATTGAAAAATTTATTTTAAAAAATATTTAATGTTACAATATTTAATGTCAAGGTAGTGCAACAAACTAAGCGTTGATGGTTTACTTATTTATTTATCCTGCCAATATCCGAAATACACGTTAAATGTAGTACTAAGTGATTATATAAACGTTTTATATTTACAACTTCAAGTATTACGGACCAAAATAAATATATTAAGCGTATTTGTTTATGCGTAATATAACAGTATAATATATGAATAATATATGTCAATTAAAGTTTTTTGTTTGTTTTTCAATGTAATATCAAAGCTTTGATTTCAAGGACAAGGTGATTTGTGTCGATGTTTCTGTTGCGATGGTGGTTTAAAGGACTGGAGTTCTGGAGATGACCCCATCAAAGAGCACGCTAGATCCTTTCCTAACTGTTCTTATATAAACAGTTTAAAAGGAAAACAATATGTACAGTCCCTGCAACCACGTGGATTAGAAAACGAACACATTTGCTGTAGAAAAGTAAAAGTTATTACTTGTTTTTATTATAATATGAACTTTAAACCTAAAGCTGATTCTGTAATATAAATGATGCTAACCAAATTGTCACCTTAATAATTATAATATAGCACGTAAAATATGTTATAAAGTAATGGGCTGCCACAAACAGCAACAACACCATAGTATAATTTGAAATCACAATTAACTCTAAAGAGCATGTCATCGATGGAACAAAGATAAGTGCTCGTCTTTTAAATAGTGCATGTCGAAGGTTTTACTCTACCAGCAGAATTTGGAAATTGTCATAATATTAATGCAGTGTATAACTAAAATAGTATGTATATATTTTATTTTTTGGTAAAATCTGACACAATTTGAGAAAACAAATATATTGATTGTTTATTATTATTTTCTTGTTGTTAAAATGGTTATTATCAATGTTAAAAAGCTTGAACTAACGGTCAACTGCACGGTGTCGCTACCTGTATATAAAATAAATTATCAGTATTTTTGTTTCGAAGGATGACATAGGCGGCTATTATACATCAAGTCAGCGATCGGATCGGACAGGAAATATTACTGAAAGTATGTGCGTTTATATATTTTGTATATACTAGAAGATAATGAAAACCGTGTTATAAGATTTTTTTCCCCAGTAAATCAAGTAAAGTAAGGTTTCAGTAAACGTTCGCGCATGCATGCTTGAGTGCGTTTGTTTGTTTGTGATAAGTTCTTATATTTTTGTTTTTATTTTCATAAATCGAATCAAAAGAATCAAAGCAAGTCAGATTAAGTAAGACTCTATCATGCTTCTGTAAAATGTCTTGAGAGAATCTAGATAAGTTTTACTTTGCAATATATGGTTCTGCAGATGTTCGATTACATGCATAAGACAATATTACACTTGAATGTGATTTTGAAAGAAATTGTTAGTCATATGCAAATCATGTTATGGTTGGATATATAGTTTGTATTCGACAAAGTATACATGTATACATTGTAATAGAAGGGCTATTGTTGGTGTCACTTGATATCATGTATTTGTATTGGACTCTCATTGACTTTACTACATTCGTCGCAATCGCACCTCGTGGCATCCTATATCCGGTTCTATTAAGACAATTCAAATCAAATTCAAAATAAAGTTCACCTAAAATAAACATATTTTCTATGTACAAAGAATAATAATACCAATTTACTACACACATGTCTTTAAACCAGCTTCTTTGTTTTTTTTATCTATTTTCCATTTTTTACAGCAATAAGGATGATGTGTTTACGTTTTATTTAAATATATTCGTTCAGTACTTTCAGGTGATCACTATTATTCAGTTACGTTATCTATATTATAAACTCGTAACGGCAATTTAAAACGCACAATCTGAATTGATAGAAACTGGGGAGCAGACGTTTGTCTGCACGTATTTCATCAGGAAATAAATAAATATTTATATACATTTAGTAAGGAACTTTAAGGTGAGGTGCAACAAGAGGTTAACGAGATAATGAACAAACAGAGCGAGGAGGCAAACTAGTTAAATAGTCCTGATAAAAGTAAGAAATGATAACTTTGCGGCCATTGTATGCTTAGTGAACGGGATATTAAACTCATTGATTTTTGTCATATTTCTTGTAGCACGAATTTAATTTTACAATACATCAAATTGTTCTTTCAGGAGAGAACATGTGTTGTTTTGTGGATTGTGGTTGTATTAAAGATCGGAGACTTTGTGATAAAACTATAGGAGAACAAGACACATACTTTCCTGATGATACTTACAGAAATAAGTCTAAAAGAAACACAACTCGTCAAAGAGATGTGATAAAGGTACGTTCCTGGAAATGGTTGCAACATATAAGTTTTAATGTTTGCCTTTTTGATTAAATTTTGTTTTGTTTACATATGACCTCTGATACTGAGATATGTATTTCAAATATATAGAAATAATTTCTAGGCGCATTTTTATAACATCTTGACTATATTAAATAAAGTATCATTTCTAAATCAACTACACTTGGCAGAAGGTAAAATATTTAATACCCCGACATGCAATACTTAATAAATAACATTATGCTGTCAACCTAACTGGCAACTAAGCTTAAATTCAAGTGAGGTAACTGCAAAAGTATTCTGTCTTTTATATCCGTTTAGGTAGCATTAAGCATTTGGAAAATCAGTAAATATTGAATTGTGTTATTTCCGCATGCGTTTTATATTATAAACATTCACTTATCAATATCTATTATCTTGCAACTTAATGATATACTCGTATGCTGTCAACTTCTTCTTCTTTTATAATTTGAAAAATTATACAATAATTACCAAAACCATTGGCCTCAACTATGAACACGTTTTATCAATATATATGCTATAATCAGAAAAGTAACAGCGGTAATGTAGATAAAGACACATTGGCACCTTATAGAATAGTGAAAGCAACATCCCTACAGAACGCCACATATGACTAAACTGAGGCTCCGTTTAGTTGGGCATGTACATTGACGGTACCGGTCAGTGCAAGTTACTGTCCGCGCCCCCTTGAAATAGAAAGTTAAGTTTAACGCATTTTATGTAAAAAATACAGGTGGGATTCCACGCTTTTCCTATTCATTGGGCTTATCATCTTTATTCCTTGCAATAAAAAATCCATAGTAGTTGTTGTAATGTTGAGACTTACATTGTATCATATCAACAGTTTCGACCAAGTAAAATATAACGTAAATATTGAAAACACAGAAAACTGACATACATTGACGGACTCTTTTAAACATATTTACAGAATGCAAGCACTTCAGAACGCAACCAACATTCAGCTTCGCAGACAACCCAAGGAAATGGATGTATGTACATCAAATTAATCTTTTCCCCCAGACATATGAATATATAAGACATTTAAGATTTAATATTGTAACATTTATGTTTCAAATTGAACGATTTATTCCCTTTGTTCTTGCTATTTATTTGTCGATATATCATCGATGAAAACTGTAAGATTAGCGTTATAAATCTCGTAAATTACATAAATATTCTACTTTGAAAGGTTTGTGAAGTTCTAAATAGATCTGGCACAATGAATATTTAAATCTGTTTATGTTGTCTGTTTTGCCATTGTGCTTGTATATATACAATGTTAAGCATTAATTCTAAAATCATTTTAATGATAAACTCCAGCATTTTACATATATTTTTAATCCTGTTTTTTTTCACTGTTTAAGAGTATAGTTTCATAAACTATTAGCTCACCTTTTTCGTATTGACGCAGAGTTTTATGATAAATAATTACCCATCGACAGACATCTGCAGTCCAGAATTTATTCAAAGGACATCTCTTCTGAAACCACAAGACTAAAATTGATGACACTTTGCAGTAATGTTACTTGCATGAAGCTGAACAATGTTTGTGCAAAAACTTTCGGTCCAATCCATAGTTTGGTTAGCTTATATACATGATAATAAAACTTTAAAAGTATCTTTCTAAAACCATAAATGCTAAAGTTAGTTAAAAATAAAGGCCTGGAAAATTGAAGACTTAACAAATCTTTAAAATCATGAAGGCTGAATCTTAGCTGTTGCATAAAACATCGTCTAGTGGACCTCAACAACTTTTGATCAAATAAAAAGTGTAAGGGTTCAAAAATTGGCTAACCCTTCACTTTAAATAGTAAACATTGACGTTTCTTAGCAACAAGTCATTTTCAAAGTAATTGGTGATTTTCAAAGTAATCATCTTTATTTAGCAACCAATTTCATCAAAAGAAAATTTTGATTTTAAAAGCAACCAAGTTATTTCCAAAACAACCATTGACCAATCAGTGAATTACATAGCAACTATTGACTTTCAGTAGCAACCATTGACTAACATCTCCTTTTTTAAACATTATGTAGCTACAAGTGACTTCAAAAGATACGAGAGGCTCACATGGAAACCTTTTCATTTTCGATTGCAGAAAGTTACTTCATTAGCAGCCAAAAAGATTCGATAGCAAACATTGACTTCCATTGCAACCATTTATTTTTCACACCAACCAAAATATATATAGTAAACATTTTCTTTCAATAGCAACTACTGACTGCAATAGTAACTAGTGACTTTCACAGCTAGCATTCACTAGATATCTAGAATTTATTTTCATAGCAACCAGTGACTTTAAAAGCAACAATATACTTTTCGATATAACTTTTGACTTCAATTGCAACTATTTACCTTCCAAACCAGTGACTTAAAAACACAAAAAAAAACTTAACAAAACACACACACAGAAAAAAAACAACAAAAAGACAACAATTGTCTTTCCATAACAACTACACATTTCGAAAGCAAGCATTGACTTTTTATAGTAACTAATGACTTCTACATGAGCGTTTAATTTCCATAGCGACCATTGATTTCCAAAGCAACAATTGATTTTCAATTTCCATCAGTGACATTCATAGAAAACCTTTATATTCAATAATTTCATTGGCTGTGCTGAGCAACCATTGAGTTTCTGTAGCAACCACTGACATTCATAAGCAACAATGATCTTTCAATAGTAACCATTGGAACCATGGACTACGAAGCAACCATTGTTACAGTTAATGTTTATCAAACCAGTGATTTCAATAGCAAGCATTCTCTTTTTCTTTGCAGTGACATTCACTTTAGATTAAAGCAATAACTTCATTAACATCAATTGACTTTCCATAATAACAACAGATTTCGAGAGGAACTATCTTCTTTCAAGCGCCACACATGTCTTCCACTAGAAAACCATAAACTTAACAAAGCAACTGGTGACGACTGAAAGCGACCAGTGATGTCCATAGCAACCTTTGACATCCAATGGCAAATAAATATTTTCTCAAAAACCATTACATTCCCTGAGCATTCATTGACATGTGCAGCAACCATTGCCTTTTCTAAGGAAGCAGTTAGTTTAATAGCAACTTTCGAATTTTTCATAGGAATAAGTGGATGCCATATCAAACAGTTACTTCAATGTCACTTGATGATTTTGTAAAAATTGAGTTCCACGGAAATTTATGACCGCTATATCATAGTTACCTTTTTTGCAAGGTAACTCGTGACATCCAATACAACCATAATAATTATAAACTACCAGAATTTCCTTAGTAATCAGTGACCTCTGAAGCAATTATTGTTTTTCTATACCAACCACTGATATATCATAGAAATCATTGACTTCAATAGCAACCATTAATATATCGAAACACCAGTGACATAACAAGAACCATGGACTTACCTTAGCAACAGTTGATTTTCAAAGTAACCACTAAATTTCCATAGCATCCATTGACCTTTAAAAAAGCATTCAATTTTCTGTAGCTATCTATTAGACATTTTATTGTTCTTTTTTATTCATGAAAATAAATAAAATTTAATTGTTCATTGTCATTCAAAACCTTTATAATGGGAGTATTTACTTTTTGTGTTTATTTAATCTAAAAAAATGTTAATTGTATTGTACTTAACGGTCATTGATGTCTTTAGTGGACCATTTTCTATTCATATTTATGTATTAAGTTTTCACTGACCATTTGATTATAGTTGTCCTGCAACCGTTAACTTCCATAGCGAAAATTGTCGTTCCATAGCAACCTGTAGTATATCAAGAAACCATTCACTTTCAAACGCAACTTCAGATGTAGATAATAACCATCGACTTTCAGTACCAACCAATGCCACGTTTTAATAATCATTTTGTATGTTATTAATCATTGTGTATATTATATGCCCCTGATCATGACATACATTAAGAAAAAGATTCATATTGTACTTCAATTTTTGCTTGAAATATCAGTTTGTGTACAAAAAAGTTTTTAATTCTGAATTGAATGACTTTTTGAAAAGAAGTTACTTCACTATAAAACATGGATGATGTGTCTCTTTAAGATTTAAGTTCTTTACTGCGTATAAATACCTTTGCCTCAAAACCATACCGTAGGCAGGATTTAATGGCTTTATTGAAATAATCAATTTATAAATAAGGGATTTATATTTTTGATAACAACAGTTATATTTGCTTGCGCAGGTATATACTGTTAGCTTTTGTAAAATGTGTGGCTCTTGAGAGATAGAGGTCGAGACTTTTACATTTATTTGTTGTTTCTTATGTTTGTTTTTTTTTTTAAATTTTGAATAACTGTTATATCTTATTTTTTAGCCAAATATGAGTTCTTTTACTAATTATTTGCAGTTTTCTCTTGTATTCAGTTCTTTAAATGATGCTTAAATTTTCCTCTTAATTTGGAATTGTGTTCAGAACACGTTTTCAGCGTTTTTTCACAAACTACCTTTAAATTTAAAAACCAAAAATTGTTTTGTAATTTGTCATTTTCATTACTTGTTTAACATATTTGGTTAAAACTTCTTTGTTTAATTACAACTGCTAATGTGATTTTAATACGATTTACACATGTTGTTTAGTCCACACTCAATGCAAAACAATGCAAAATTTTAGTGATATCCATTTTGATATTACGTTTTACAGATAGTTTTGAGTATACATCTGTTCTTCGAAAATCTACAAAACATGTTGTGTTGCATATGGATCCACGGTTGGTTTTGGATGAATTTACAACATGTGGTTTTCTGACGAATATAGAAATTCGAGACATTGAGGTAATATTTCATATATTTTAATATTACATATATACAACCATGTTCAAGTACATATATCTTAATATGATAATTATAACACTGTATACGTTCAAATTTTATTTTCGATCGAATGCTATCTAAAATACTAATCTGCATTATTGCAGTATCATTCAAACTATTGTGTAACAATTACGTATGAAACAATCGTCATGGCATCGGACTATTTCAAATTTCAAATCGGCCGACATGTTTAAAGTATAGCAGTCGACACCTTTTTTGCTTATATATTTTATTTTATTTTAGCTCACCTAAGCTAGCTCAGGGTGAGCTTTTAGGATCGTTGAATATTAATACGTTGGCTGTCGGCGTCCGTCCACATTTGTTCGTTAACACTCTAGTCCTCAATCATCATCAACTTTGTCAAGATGCTTGTCTAGGATATTGCTCGAATGAGTTCAAACATGGGTCCCCTTGGATGAAAACTAGTCCACAGGAGATAAAAAAAAATCTTGTTAAGGACGTTTTCGGGAGTTTTCATAAAGACATATCTAGGCAAAATTAAAACTGTTCAATAGAATTTCTTTAAACTTGGCATATTGTTAGAATATGATAACAGAAACATTTTAAACGAAAAAAACATTGGGGTTACCGTCCTCTTTTTCGAGTTATCTGCCCTTGAATTGGACTATTTTGTTAAATTCAAGGGCAGATAATTTACAATGAAGGGAAACAATACAATTTTTTTCTTATTTTCATGAAGCTTACTTTCGTTTTAGTCGATATGCAAAATTTCAAGAACAAATTTAGAGTGGATGTTTTTTTCCCCACTTCTTCTTTTAACCTATGCATTCTTTCGTAAAAAATGGCCTATTTTTAACAATTTAGAGTACCTTTATTTTCATTGAAAAAAGTAAGAGAAACGATTGAAGGAATTGCCTGTTATTATGAATTGTACTCAACTATAAAAAGAAAAAGTAATTCAGAGTTAAAAATAAAATTTCATTCAAGTATGTGTAAGTTATCTTCCCTTGAAATGACCCCAAATAAGTAGAAAATTCTGATTCAGGGGCAGATAACTCGAAAATGAGAACGGTGGCCCAAATTTATTTTCGTTTAAAATGTTTCTGTTATCATATTCTAACAACATGTCAAGTTTAAAGAAATTCTATTGAACAGTTTTAATGTTGCCTATTTGTCTATATGAAAACTCCATAAAACGTCCTTAACTCTCTAGTTGCTCCTGTTTGAATCGAAATATCCGTGAAATTTGTCTGAAAGTTTTTTTTTATGATTTCTAGGTTAAGTTCAAATATGAATCACCTTAAAAACTAGGTCACACCGCCCAAATATCGAAAATACTTTGTTGACACTTTAGTGGTCACATTTAACTCAATTGTCATCAAATTTTGTCAGTATGCTTGTCTACGTAATTACTCGGATAAGTTAGAAAATGGGTTATCTCGGATGAAAAACTAGGTCATAGAAGCTAAAAAAGAAAAATATTGTTAACACTCTAGTTGCTCCTGTTTTAATCCAAATATCCTTGAAATTAGTCTGATAGTTCGTTTTGATGATTTCTAGGTCAGGTTTAAATATGGGTCACCAGGGGTCAAAAACTAAGTCACACTGCCCAAATATGGAAAAACCTTATTAACGCTCTAGTGGTCCCTTTTTAGAGAAATAGTCTCCGTCCGTCCGTCCTTCCGCACTCACAGGACAGTAATTGTGTGGCTAGAAGGACAATAGGTAACTGTTCTTTCTCTTTGATGTCATTCATTCCGTAATGCTTTTATGTGGCTATTTTCTTTTGTGTGGCTAAAAAGAACAATAGAGAGAACAATAGAGTAGCCACATAATTACTCTCCTGTTAGAACGGCCGTCTTTCCGTCCGTCCTTCCGCCCGACAGTTTTGTCTTGAGCATATCTCAAAAAATATTTGAGTTATCAACTTGAAACTTCAAAGGTGGATAGACCTTATTGAGGAGGAGTGTAGTGCCCAAGAATGATAACTCTACACTGCATAATTTTAGAGGTAATGCCCTTTGTTTTTTTTTTTCAAAATTAATTTTTGTCCAGAGCATAACTCAAAAAGCCTTTGAGATATCAACATGAAACTTCATAGGTGCATAAATCTCACTCAGGAGGTATGCAGTGCTTAAGAATAATAACTTTACCTTTCATAATTTTTGACTTTTTGCCTTTTTTTATTTTTCATACTTAACTTTTCACCTGAGTGGAGCATAACTCAAGGTTTTTGAGATGTCAACATGAAATGTCATAGGTGGATAGATCTTATTAAGGAGGAAAGCTGTGCACAAGTATGATAACTCTCCCTATACAATTTTTGAGTTATTGCCCTTTGTTCTTTTTCATATATTTTGTCCGGAGCTTATCTCAAAAAGCATTTGAGGTACCAACTTATAACTTCATAGGTGAACGGATCTCATTGAGGAGGAGTGTAGTGCACAAGAATGATAACTCTACCCTGCATAATTTTTGAGTTATTGCCCTTTGTTATTTTTCAAAATTAATTTTTGTCCAGAGCATAACTCAAAAAGCCTTTGAGATATCAACATGAAACTTCATAGGTGCATAGATCTCACTCAGGAGGTGTGCAATGCACAATAATAATAACTCTACCTTTCATAATTTTAGAGCTATTGCCCTTACGTTATTTTTCATACTTAATTTTTCACCTGAGTGGAGCATAACTCAAGGTTTTTGAGATGTCAACATGAAATGTCATATGTGGATACATCTTATTGAGGAGGAAATCTGTGCACAAGAATGAAAACTCTCCCTATACAATTTTGAGTTATTGCCCTTTGTTCTTTTTCATATATTTTGTCCGGAGCTTATCTCAAAAAGCATTTTAGGTATTTACTTATAACTTCAAAGGTGAATGGATCTCATTGAGGAGGAGTGTAGTGCTTAAGAATGATAATTCTACCCTGCATAATTTTTGAGTTAATGCCCTTTGTTTTGTTTTTTTCAAAATTAGTTTTTGTCCAGAGCATAACTCAAAAAGCCTTTCAGATATCAACATAAAACTTAATAGGTGCATAAATCTCACTCAGGAGGTATGCAGTGCATAAGAAAAATAACTCTACCTTTCATAATTTTTGACTTTTTGCCCTTTTTTATTTTTCATACTTAATTTTTTCACCTGAGTGGAGCATAACTCAAGGTTTTTGAGATGTCAACATGAAATGTCATAGGTAAAAAGATCTTATTAAGGAGGAAAGCTGTTTACAAGAATGATAACTCTCCCTTTACAAATTTTGAGTTATTGCCCTTTGTTCTTTTTCATTTATGTTGTCCGGAGCTTATCTCAAAAAGCATTTGAGGTATCAACTTATAACTTCATAGGTGAATGGATCTCATTGAGGAGGAGTGCAGTGCACAAGAATGATATCTCTACCCTGCATAATTTTTGAGTTATTGCCCTTTGTTCTTTTTCATTTATGTTGTCCGGAGCTTATCTAAAAAAGCATTTGAGGTATCAACTTATAACTTCATAGGTGAATGGATCTCATTGAGGAGGAGTGCAGTGCACAAGAATGATATCTCTACCCTGCATAATTTTTGAGTTATTGCCCTTTGTTATTTTTCAAAATTAATTTTTGTCCAGAGCATAACTCAAAAAGCCTTTGAGATATCAACATGAACTTCATAGGTGCATAGATCTCACTCAGGATGTATGCAATGCACAATAATAATAACTCTACCTTTCATAATTTTAGAACTATTGCCCTTACGTTATTTTTCATACTTAATATTTCACCTGAGTGGAACATTATTCAAAAGTGTTTGAGATGTCAACATGAAATGTCATAGGTGGATATATCTTATTGAGGAGGAATGCTGTGTGCAAGAATGATAACTCTTCCCTATATAATTTTTGAGTTATTGCCCTTTGTTATTTGTCATGCTATTTTGTCCGGAGCTTATCTCAAAAAGAATTTGAGATATCTACTTGAAACTTCATAGGTGGATAGATCTCACTCAGGAGGTGTGCAGTGCACAATAATAAAATAACTCTACCCTGCATTATTTTTCAGTTATTGCCCTTTGTTATATTCAGCCATCAGTATTCAAATAGGTTTCAAAACTGTCATCACTTCAGCCATCAGTTTTCATTACTAAAAGACCTCTTAAAAATGAATAATTCTGCTCTGCTACATATACTTCTTCCAATGAGCAAACACTTTCGGCGGGAGATGACCATGTTGACATGGCTCTTGTTGAATCAATTGTCATCAAACTTGGTCAGGATGCTTGTGTAAGAAATTTCTCTGATGAGTTCGACGTGTCAGGTGAGCGATCTAGAGCCATCATGGCCCTCTTGTTTTTTTTATTTGCTTTCTTTTTAAAGTTTCGTGTATGTTTGTCACACAGGCAAAATGAATAACAAGATTAATATTAATCCCTTTATCTAAAACACATTTTTTTTATATATTTAGAAAAAATGTATGTTTTATGATTGTTAAAATGATGTTGCTTTTCATGTAAAGTTAGGAGGGAGAGCAAATATAGTGTTTAATTTAGTGGGAAAAACATGCATTTCAGTTTTTACTTGTTATTCATTACGTTGGAAATACAGTCCCCTCCAAAGTTTCCGGATACAATTACAAATCAAATAAAATGAAAGAAACATCATACATTAACAGGAAAAGGAATAAATTACCTCTTTAATTTTCAGCAATAACATCAAACATCAGCAAAAACAATACTTGTCAACATCCTGATGCCATACATGTAAACGATGACTGTTTTTGCAGTCAAATTATGTTATTGTTTACCTCCCTTTACCACATCTTATTTTAAGGTACTTCTGTTGCTTGTAAAATAAGCAAATTACATAGAATATTTCAAATGAAAAAATGTTTGAAAACTTTTGGAGGTTTTTTTTCAACTTTTAATTCGGAAAAGGCAAGATACGCACCTATATCATAATGCTTTGTTTGTACCAATAAAAATGTACTGCGTAACAGAATAGTTTTATGCATTAACGACGATTTAATGAAACACATTTAAGCTTTTAGACAAAACCTGTTCGAATTATTTTCTGCTTCTATATTGTTTTAATTACAGGAGCTACAACTCACGTCAGAGAAAAATAGAGCTATCCTGCGTAAGGTGATGACAAAAGGTGTCAATGGATATAACAAATTTAAAAGTGCATTGAAGGAATCTAATCAAACACATCTTCTCGATCTTTTATTGAGAGAAGAGCTTTCGTAAATAAAATGTTACATACATGTTTCAAACCTATGAAGTGAAGTGACACCACGATATTGAAGCACAATGCGCACATGTTTCATTAGCTTAAAAATAAATTTGTATTCTGTATTCTACCTTATAACTGAGAAACAATTTATGTATGTTTTCATGGTCTTCCCTTCAAACATGAGAAAACGTTCTCAACCAATGCATGATATGTATTGAAGTAACTGTATGCTACTATTGGAAGGTTTAAACATTTGTTTTGACTTATGTGACACGAATGTACAATAGGTTCAATACACGGAATACTAGGTACTACATAAATTGTCAGAAATACAGTTTTTGCAATTACAATAATTAAAGCTAAGAACACTTTTTATGGACTTTTGGGCTGTTTTATTACGATTCATGAACAGAACAGAGACGTTTAGTCAGCGATATTAAAAATATCTTATACAAATATTGTAAAAGTACCATTGAAATTCAAAAAGGCTGTTGTTCTATCTGGGTGAATTTATTATTGTACTTATTTCAAACATATCTGTTTTTTGATTTTTAAAATAAATTTAAACTAACCTTTTTGTTACAGTTTTGATTTACTTTATTATAACCCAAAGGATCAGAAGAGATCGAACGAACGTGTTCTGCAAAACATACTGTCGGTCGCTTTGCATTTAAAATACAACACTTTTTAACACTTATCATAATGTTAAATATGATAATTATGTGCTATTACAAAAAAAAATGTCATGTATGTAAAACATTTCAAATGTTACCGGGACGTTACTTCTTTGGAAACGACATCTTCGTCATATTCATATTGGTTCAACAAGTGTTTAACAGTCCCGGCATCTTATTATTTTCATTGAACAGCTTTGATTAATCAATTAACATGAATCATCAACTGTAGAACATTTATAAATTAAATCATTATGTGAATGAAAATGAACAAATACATGCTTTCTCACTGTACAAACATTTAAGGATCATGTTACTCATTTTCTATGGTTTTAATATTATGCGCAAATGAAAATTTATCAAAATTGTAAGTTCCAAAAAGCATTATTTGTAAAGATATTACAGACTTTACATTTCATGTTAAAAAAGGGAAGTAATTAGAAATTTATTTTCTATAAAAGATAAGTCAAAGTTTTCAATAAGAAATGAATGCATATATTTTAGTGATTACATATAATTGAACAAATATTTGCAGTACGTGTTTTACATATAAAAAATCTCATTGAAGTATGCTAACAACCTTAATTACAACATTTTTGAATTAATTAAATACAAATGGCTCATCCTCATGTTTTAGATGCATCATATAAGAAACGGAACGTTAATTATTTCATCACTATGAGTAGTTCGTGTTTTCAAATTTCATTTTTCTACATATGCAATTGTGTAAATTATTACAATGCTATTAAGTAAAAACTTCTGTCACAGCAAATGTAAGTGCTGCCATTTTCATGTACACAAGTGAGATAGAGCTTTTACAGTCTCTGCCTAATTTTAAGACAAATATTTTACTTGTCTTAATCCGTTCTGAACAAGATTGAATTATTTGTTAATATACTAGCAAAAAGCATATTAATACTACATAAAAGCATATTAAAGAGATTCACATTTGCTACACTACAACCGTCTTTATAAAGTTTAAAGTGACATAGTTAAGTATGATTTTCAAATAAATATGAGATTTTTTTTGATATTACAAGGAAATATGGAATGAGTGGTATCCAAGTGGTATGTAATATGCTAAAACATGTCAAATATAAAACTGTGAATTAACAAACTAAGTTCAATGTGACACATCCAATACATTATAATAAAAAAAAATATTAACGTGTTTATGTTACATTGACAATTCTTTGACCAATGTGCTTTCTGTATGATATAATCAGATGGATTCTAAAATGTCAGACCTTAAAAGAAATATGTTTTACAAAAGTCACTTAGAAATTCTGTATAAATATAAAACGAAATTAAAATGCTATTAAATGTACGTCGCTTTAATAATACATTTCGACAATTGTGTTGATTAACTATGTTGAATATCTTGATATGTCAAATATTATTATATTAATAATTTACTCTCCCACTAACCTTTGAAAATACATAGAGGTTATTAAATAAAAAAGCAAATCAAAATCCCTTCTAAATGTAAAACAATGATAAAGGAGAGAATTTTTTATACATTCAAAATTTATTTTGTTTATGTACAATAAATGTTGGAAATATTTTATTTATTTCGACTAATAGTTGCTTTCGTTCATCGTTCTTAATTTGTACGATGTGTCAAAGAATAACAAGATTTGTTTTCAAGATAACAGTAAAAGTTTTATTAAGATCCCGCCGATACTATGATATGTGAAAGTTCACTTCGTAACCAGTGTATAGCAGATTATACAGCCACTTATCACGTAATTAAGGATTCGTTATTTCTTTTTTTTATGGGTTTTATCTGTTTTATGATAGCTTGATTAATACACATCAAGAAATACAGAGAACACTCCGACAAATAGTGAATGGTCATGGCGAGGAAGGTTAGGTCAAAAATAACGAACAGTTTAATAATTCAATGCTATTTTTTCATAAATTTTCTTTAAATCTGTCAAACTGTAATGTAAACCACACTTTTTATTTTAGACTTTAGAGTGGATTACCAATTTATCCGTGAACATTATATATTATTATTTCGCAGTGAAAATTATCAAAATATATGTCTACACTTTTCAATGAAGGAACTACATTTTAAAGATTTTCCCAAATGTTATGTGGTACCTCAACTTATATATTATTATTCCGACATATCTAGGCTGTTTAGAGCAAACAACGCTGGAATTGATAAATAACTCAATTTTCAAATGTAATAAAAAAGTAAAACTTCCAAAACGATCCAATTTTCCGATTATCAAATTATTCTTTACATATTCGTCTCTACGTTTTGATTATGTTCTTAACAATCTGATAATTACTCTTTCTTCATCACTAAAATCTACTCTTGACGACATTTTGGCATACATAAGTATTCTAAGAGCAACAATTATATAACTGTGTTAGTGCAATGACATTCATCTACATGAAGGATAAGTAAATGACCCAGCGTTCGTAAGAGAGCCATCGAATCAAAAGGTTCCATATTTACCAAATTTCTAGTAACTTCTTAAATGTTTACACACATGCCTACAATTATTTATTACTTGAACTCCTTTCGAATCAAACACATTTTATTCTTTCCTTGCTTGAAATAAACAACTTTTAAAAATGGCGGATGTGATAGGGGATTATACATTATCTTTCAATTATATTTAATTTAGTGTATATAAAACAGGATTAAGTTAGAAACGTTGTAACTTTTATCTTCTAGAAATGTTTGTTTAATGATTAAAAAAGGGATCATTTTTGTTTAAAATGAAACATAACATCTCTATTTAACATTGATTTCCGAACTTTTTCTTCAGCTCAATAATTCCTGTACACATGAGAAATTGAGGCTATCAGTGGGGAAAACAGATTTTAATATACAAGTTATTATTGAGGAAATTTAATTAAAACTGCATTTTAGAATACACAAAGAAAATGTGTTTGTTTGCTGTGTAAGATGAAATCTATTTTCATCGAATGAGCTTTGAAAACAATATTCTCACGAGTGGCATAGCCTCTATATTTTTATTAATTGTTTCAATAAAACTATTTTAAAATAATTTATACGCAAAAAAGTTTTAATTTTCTTTCTTTTTTTTATAAATATGAATTGAATGATAATTTAATATGATTTTAAAAGTATAGCCTGTCAAACAAATTATATTTTCAAAGCCCTTTTTTAAACGACTTATTATATTAATACAAATATGGCTTATTGTGAAATATTCTTACATGATCTGATGTCTGATGACTTTATTGTATGTTTATATTTGTTGGATATCAACTTTTAATCTAAGCTGATAACTTTATGTGTTATTATCCATTAATTAAAATAACTTCTGATTTTTAGGGCCCTTAAAGATAAAATACAACAGTTTGATTCATACTGACATATGTACAATTTATTATACATGTTATATGTGCGTGTATATATGTAGTGAACACAACAGTATATGTAATAATGTATTTTCTAGGAGAAATACAAACCAAAATTATTCCTTATTATCAAAACAGCATGCATTTTGATTTTACAATTCCTTACGAAAAGTAAAAATAAACACCAAAACACTTTACACTTTAATCAGTATATTTAAATGCTGCATAAACGAAATTATGAAAACATCTTAGTTTACGTGGTAATTGATAAACTAAAGAACAATAGCAAAGAAGATAGAATGAAAGAAAACAACAACAACTAAAACAACAACAGCAGCAGCAACAACAACACAAAAAAGCAACAACAATAACATCAACAACATAAAACACACGCACATGCATGCACACGCACTCGCACGCATACAAACAATTACACAAAAGCGTAATCTTAAACTTGAACATAGACAACACAGATCAAATTTAAAATTTAAATAAACGAGATAGAAAATTAACGTTCAAATCCCTTGAATGAAATTGTTCATGTGTCATATAAAATGTTTACTTTGTCCTGTGATCAGCATATAAAATTTATTGACTGATAAATCAATGATATTTTAACGCTAGAGTTGATATTTTTTATCAATAATTTATTTGTAAAAATAAAATAAATACGTTTAACAGAATTACCATTTGTAATGATATTTTATCTATGGTTTTTACAAACTGTTACACAATATATTTCACCTAAAACTGTAAAAAAAGTATAAAATGCAGTTCTTTTTAGATTTGAGCCACATGGAGATTTAACTCGTTCTTCATCTTGCATAGAAGGTATTTGTATCACCGTATGTGACTATTTATAGCAGAAAAGTACTTCCCCAGCTATATTTATTTACACGCAATGGGATTCCAAAATATCATGTATACTCTAAACCTAAAGTGTAATCTGTTAAAATTGATAAAACAAGTTTACCACGCAAACAATGGATATGTCAGTTAATACCCAAAGGGATTTAAACGAAATAGTTTTTGAAACAAAACTTGAATCGAGATACATTAATTCTGTTTTTCAGTATATACTATTTAAATGTGATACAAGATGGCGTTTATTTTTCTTTATAGAACAAAACAAATTAACTTATGGTACATTGCCGTATCTAACAAACAAAATGGAGCGGCAGATAATCATTACCGAAACTCATATAAAGAAAGAGTCACAAGAACATATTGTGAAATGTTACGCTGAAGAAAGGCAGCTGCTTATTGTTGTTCTTTCAGGAGACGCTATTCTTGTTACAGATAGTGAAATATTTAATATATTGTTAAACAAAATAAAACGAAACATTGCTGAGGGTCAACAACTCATGAGACACATGGATACTGACATTTTTCTAGCAACGTTTCCTTTTCATATAAATCATGATAAAAAATCAAATAAAAACAACACCAAAAGAAATGACAACGTATCAACAGGTGGTAAGGTCTTAAAATCCCATTTTCAGATTTATATTAAACATGCATGGATGGATTGATTTATCAATATTAAATACAACGGACTTATCGTGCTTTCTGTTTCATTTATATATTTCTAGTTATCAACACTATGAAACTTTCCACCAGCTGAATAGATAAAACATTTGCAAAGATAATAAATACTGTTGCAAGAAAACGTTCATTACTTGACTGTCTAGTTATATAAAATAATTATTATGTAAATTTATATAGAAATACAAATAAGAAAATTGACAAAATTGTCCATAATAAGTGTTTCTTCACTGCATAATAATTGTTAAGTATACGTTCAAATCGATATTCTACCTATAATATATTTATGACAATTATAATAATTTTATTTTTAACTTTCAAGCGGTTAATATAATAAAATAGTGTTTACCTCGATGGTTGAAAACGGACTGTCTGATTTCAAAACCAAACATTTTAAAATTTTAACTTTAAATCGACATTTTGACTTCTTTCAACAACCGTTCAACAGGAGAGATAATTTAACAATCGCTCCTTTTAGGGGTTTTTCGTCTTCAGATAAAGACTCCCAATACAAGTGTTTGAATACACAGAACGGATACGATATTTCGGTCTAACCTACATTTATAAATAGCATGCAAAGAAAAGGCATTTTAAATGCTTGAATTTGTCGGCCTGGTTTATTCTATATAGAAAGTCCACCGAAACATAATACATTGAAAGATATAAGAGTACTGTGCATCATTTATACTTATATTTATATTTATGTATGTTTAACATTACGATTGTAGAAACTGAACGTACAAATGTCCTTTGGATGTCAAAAATACATTCGTCAAAAAATACAGCGCCTGTTTATGTTTACACTTAAATTCACGTGGTAGAACTGATGTCGATCCGTGATAACTCCTAAATCATTATCAATTATCATGATATATATGAGGTAGTCCGGGAAAAACAAAATGTATATAAGTACGGTGGTACATTTTCTGTCATATTTAAAAACTTTAAGACTATTTGGTAGCTTGTTATTATAAACGTTCTAATCTTGATTATTCATATTCGACATCTTAACTCTAACTAGTATATTTTGTTCACTGTCGTGTTTGTTTTATTTCATTAATACATTATTTTTTTACATCAAGCGTCTTCAAAACTAAGGCCTCTTACTCCTCGGCGTCCTCACTCAACAACCTTCATTGAACCAGATAAGCGTGACATTTTTGATGAGGATATATCTGTGTCCACGATACCAACTGACAAAAACGTATACAAAAATAAATTACATTCTCCTAACTCAAGACATTTAACTGAGGGAGACAAATTTCCTATTCAAGCAGTGGAGATTGATGCAGGCATGTTATCATTTGAACCATATCCCGGACAAACATCTACAATACTATCGACTACAAGAGAATCTGAACCAAGTCAAAGAGGTTTATCAAACCCAGGGAACAGCAATACTTTGATGAGACAAGCAACGGTGCAAAGAAGTATGGTAACCTCTGGTTCTGGAATTCCATTTCATTTAAAACCATCTAGATATGCAGATTATCAAGATCAGAAGAAGAGATATGACTCATTCCAAACTCCGAAATGGTTGACTGATAGCAAACCTGATATTAATCTCCTAGTAGGATGTGGATTTTTCTTTACAGGTAGATAACATTGGTTGATCTTATTATAGTTGTGAAGAAATACTTTATTTACACATGATCAGTCATGAATAAAAAATGTTTACGTATAACATCAGAACAGTTGCTGGAAATGTGGTCTAATAACTACGAAATACCGCTTGGGACATTTCATGTTTATGAATTCCAGATTTCTCTTTTTGAATGCAAAATTTAACATCGTGAATTCACGTTTTCTACTTAACGAGTTATAATTCATTAACTCATATTTTGATCTCATGAATTTAACAACTTCATGAACTTATGCTTTGAGCTTCACGAACTTGACATTATGAATTCGTACATATCAACTCGAGAATTCAATAAGCTAAAATGTTAACCCCGGCCTTTCACAAATAACGGTTGCAACGACTTCAAATCTTACTTATCAACTCGAGAATTCAATAGGTTGAAATGGTTCCCCCGGTCTTTCGTAAATGACAGTGGCAACGACTTCAAAATATTTTACTCCGTATCTTTTCACGATCTAAACTTAATAGTTATTTGTGCTTATATGTTAAATCAACTTAATCTCATGTTTTAAGTAATATGTTTAATGTGGTAGCTAAGAAACAAAAGGAAAATCATGTAAATCAAGAATATCCTTTCCGTTTTATTTCAAACTTCTGTTCTGTTATTTCTTTATTTGCCGGATATGATATTGAAATATGGTTTATGGAGGTACAAATTTATTTTGAAATCGTTCTTTAATGGGAGTTTTTATAATATGCTCAGAAGATACGATTTAAATTGTTATCATCAAATAGAGAAAAACAGAATCCCCAACGAAGGTCCAACACAGCAAATTAAAAATGTTGCATACCCGGTTTGATTGAGCCTATTCATGGACGGTATATATTTAGAGCCATTTCAGTAACATAATAATAGACATAAAATGCTTTGTTCTACCTCCGCATGTGTGATCATTTGAAATGGAAGGCTATCGATTTTCTCTTGGAACTATATCCTTCAACAGAGAATTCAATGCTAAATGTCTGCAGCAAACTATGTTATCGACATTCATATATATTATAGATTATCTTGACTGCAACCAGAAGTTAACATAGATGCTTGATATATCTGACATATTGAACTAGTTATATTTCTATGTATCACTTTAAGGAAATAATGACCTTGTAAGATGCTATCATTGTGGTATTGGATTAAAAGACTGGATTAAAGATGACGATCCCCTTGCTGAGCACGTAAAATATTCATCAACGTGTGATTTCCTCATTTGGAGATATGGAAAACCCAAAGTAGAAAGAATGAAGGTATGTGTATAACGAAAATGAAACAAACCTTAGTGTTCCTTGAACAAAAATTGGTAGTAGTTTTAACGTTGAATAAAATGTTCGTCCTTTAAATTGTTCGTACCTATCGCCGAATGAAAGTGCATCATTTGCACTGATGTTAAGTGATTTAGTTCTACCATCTTCTTGGATAAAACATAGTTAATGTTGATGTTATGACACTTCTAACTCTGTATATATCGACATCTGAAAATTAATTGTATAAATGAAACATTATTAATCAATGTTGTATTTTTATAATTAAAATAAATACACGAACCTTTTTACGGGTCGATATTAATGTTGATATTAATGTTTCAACAAATAATCATTGTCATATTTAAAGCCTTACCTTATGAAACTCCCTTTATTGTCCGTACATATGGCATGAAGTCAATGGATCATTGAGAAGGTAATGGGTAATGAGATACTAATATGCACACTTTTATGCGATAGAACATTATATTCATTAATTCATTATGAAATGATGCTTTTGAATCCATATATGTCGAAATATAAAAATACATTGGATAAACAACATATTAATTAATGTGATCATTGTAATCAATATTTCCGGTTTATTGACTATGTATGTACAAAATCATCATTTTAAATTTATATTTAATTCAAGACAATTCCAAATAAAGGAAACGAGCCCTCGCCTGATACCATGAGAGTATCACCATTTCAACAAACCTTCCAAAACAATTTATACTACAATAGAATATAACTCGTTATAAAACATTGTGGTATATGTGGTATATATATTACAATAATCAATAAACAAATCAAAACCTTTTCAAAACCTAATCAAAACCTGATTTATGAGCATGCATTTGGAAATTTTCCATATTGATATATATTCATACAATTAATTCTATTTATAGGCGGCACTGACAACTGGTAAGAGTTTCAAATAATTTACCTCTGAAATCGATATTTTGCTTGTCAATAAAATACACAGTACAATTCATGTTTACAACGATTAACAAATGTGTATGTCATTAGATATATGGTGCTTTGAGAGTTAAGAAGTCATGCTGATATAAAAATTGATCATTAAATAGCCTTTATTTAGTCTGTATATAACTTTTTATAAACATTATAATTTCTAAAACGATCCAAGAAGAATTATATTTTTAAATGTATGATATGATGTTTACATATTAGATGATAAAGAATGAAACGAAATATTTTACTATATCCGAAGCAAATTACTTTAAATAAAGCTTTACGCAACACTGTTTACAACACAATCTTGTCTTGTATCTCGCATATTGAAGGAGAAGAAAGGAGAATAAAGATTGAAGATATTGAAAACACTTAATTTTAAATTGTAAAAAAAACAACAAATTTTATTCTTACAAATATACAAATGCAGTGAACGTCTCCGTAACAACTTTTATTTTTTGTCAATACAGAAAGTAGCAATGAAGGAGAATCCAGACCACCAGCACCACCAAGCTACCCAATCAGATCACCACGTTATCAGACAATGGAAGCAAGACTTGCATCATTTGAAAACTTTCCTAGCGCCAACAACATACCTCATCAACAACTTGCTGTTGCGGGTTTATTCTTCACTGGTAAATTTGATATTTTATTATTGCCAGGTTGATGTCAGCTGTTCTACAAGTAACATGAAACTGACAATGAGTAAGCTTTTGACATGCATCGTCCAATTTACATTTTATTCTCTTTTAAAGCTGAAGCGAAATTTCTTAATAAAACTTAATTTGTAATTGTGTATAGTACTATTGTTATTGCGTCTTTACATAAGTTGTGTGTTAAATGAATACGTCTTCCTGTATTATTGTCATCCTGTATAAACTGACAATGCCTGTGAATATAATAGAATACTTTTAGTTATTCTTTTCCATGTTGACTTAACTCAGTGCAAAATATCGTCAGAGATATTCTAAGCTCCCCATTATCGTTCATAAACACACTTGATATTTTTCAAACATTTACTTGCATTTCTTCGCCTCCAAGAGATCTCCTCAGTTCTTAAATTTTACATCATCGTTTTATGTACATATTGAATATCATAAATTCGAATTACTTCAGATTTAAAGGGAATCCAAATATTTTATAATTGACAGAAACTGCGCTGAGTACAGCTAGAACCAAGAAAAACCCGTATTTCACTATTTTATTTAAGCTTTCATAGAACTAGTTAGACATGTGTTTCAAAATTTTTATAAGACTATTTGTCATTGTGTTATATTGTATTAAAATGTATTTGGACTAGTAACTCGCTTTATAGATTATGATTAACAGTGTGCAATGTTTTGTACATAGTGTGATATATAAAACAAGTTATTCTCTATAAATCAACACATCTAACTAACTTCAATTAGCATGTTTATTTTGCAAATGTCAACAATGTTCTTGAAAGATGCCATACCTTTGCCGTAAAAAGGACCAATTAATTAGATGGTCATCTTGTACAAAATTAAAGAAGTATTTGGATGTCAGTAACTTGTGTAAATCTTATGTAAATATAGACCTGTGAATTGCAACATTTGAATTTCCAGTATATATAATATACATTTGTTATGTTTCGAGGACAAGGTGATCTGTGCCGCTGCTTTACATGTGATGGTGGTTTAAAGGACTGGAGCCCTGGAGATGACCCTATCAAAGAGCATGCTACGTACTTTTCAAACTGTCATTATATAAACAAATTGAAAGGACATGAGTATGTTCAATTGCAGCAACAAAGTCGATCAAGCAACGAAGCAGCAATGGTTTGAATTAGTAGTACCATAATATTTAATTTACATATAATTATTTGTTTGCTCAAAAATCTCTTGTCATTACATTTTTCATTATGTTATACTAAGGCATATTATGTTTTAGGAGCAAAGCTTATTTTTTAATACTTCAATAAAATATGACAGTTGACCTTCACGGTCCTTCTTGTATCTATAATAAATATGTATAATGATTTCTGTAGCAAAATGACGTTTTGCAATATTCAGTTTGACCTTCACGTCTTCTTGTAACACTTAATACAATTGTCAATATTTTTTACAAAATGAAATTTTTAAAATATCAGATTAACAAAATTATTCAATAAGTAGACAGCTTGTATTGTTAATTTTATTATTATTATTGTCTATTATTATTATTTTTATTATTATTATTATTATTATTATTATTATTAAGTCTGTTTATTAATAAGCTTATTGTCACTGGTGTTGTATCAATGATTTGTATGGCAAATAATAAATGTAAATAGAAAATCGCATGATTGTTTAAAGGGTGCTGAAGGAGGCAACAATACACACAATACACCACATCAGGCCACCGAAACGTCACCAAACCTTCCAATAGAGAGAATGTCTCTTCAAGGTACTATTCTGATATGACCTTTAATTGACTTTAACAGTCAGGGTCAAATTTTTGAAATTTGTTTAAATTGTCATAACATGATTACTTTCTTACATATTTGATTCATACTTGTGCAAAAGAACACATCTGACAATACCGACATGGTGTATTTTTCTGATTTGCCCTTAAATTGACAACCATGGTCAAATCGTTTAAAGATTTATAACTTCTATTCTTGGCATAGAGAAAATGAACGCTAGGAATTCGAATATTTTAAAGTTTTAAAACATATATGCAGATCTTTTGTCTTACCTTTTACATAAATATTCGTTAATTATGATTATAGAAAACAAAAATAGACCGGTTTACACAGGGGTAAACCCGAGTGATAGTTTGGTAAATGCAGGTGGCGAACGGACGGGAAAAAATTTCTTAACAGTTTTCTCAGCAACTATTTATGAAAGCTCCTTGATATACCCTGGGATTCGATTTCAAGTCTGTCAGTCATCAACTTCCTGTTTTCCGACTTAGTTAAGGTTTCGACATCAATGGTCAATGGTAGGACAGTTTCGAAACATTTTTCTCAGCAACTACTTATCATAGCCTCTTCATATGTGGTATACAGCGAGAGCATTTGGCCCTATACCGTGGGATTCGATTTAAGGTCTGTCACTCATCCACTTCATGTTTACCGACTTGGTTAAATTTTCGACGTCAATGGTAGAAAATGTTTGTAACATCACATCCTTGTGAATTTTGGTATACAGATGCAACCCGGCCATTTCTGCCTTTGACCCCTTTTTTATTCATTAACAAGTGTATCAAGTGAACGATAAAATTAAATTTGGAAGAAACTTTATATGTTTGATGTACCAACGTATATAATTAAGGTCTTTTTATTTACAGATTCGAATTTAGATATGAGTCAAGTTGTTCAAAATCTCGGATATTCAGAAATGGAATTCATTTTAGCAAAATCAGAAATAGAAAAGAAGAAAGGTAAATTTTGAGCATTTAATATGTATGAATACTGGATGTTATATACAACTGGAGTAGTATTCTAAAGATTTTATATATTCTTAGATAATTTAAACATAAAATGAAAAGAAATGATGTTATTGGCTACATTTGATCTGATCCATAGTTTAACATTTACATGATCACAATATATATTTATATGAACGCATCACAGAATCGTTCATATAAATAACTTTATAATTTACTATCTATTCAATTCTTTTTTATCTATTGTTAGATGATAAATGTTTGCTTTGCGTATTGAAGGTAGGGTTGTTATCACTGTTGAAGAAATAATAAACACATTACTTGATATGAAGGATAGGGCAAAACAGTTGAAAGCTGGTGCCACTAGCACCCAGGAAAATAAAACTGGTTAGTGTTTCTTTTTAATTTTACAAATTATATCATTTCCTTTTAAATTAAGCAAGAAATTCTTAAACATATCTGCCTCTGCCAGAATAAGTAATTGAAAATTCTATCATAATCAGTTTAGGAATCAATTGAATTTTGTCACTCGTATTTGCTTAAAAGAGGACGTTTAAAATTTTACGCAGTTTTATAATATTTCCATAGACATTAAAATGTTGTTTTTAATATGCCGAATATATGCTGTTGGGTTTCCCAAAAACACTGGGTCATATGCGTATATAGGACAATTTTCGAACATTTCATAACAAGGCTTTATTGATTTGAATATATATATCTTACAATGGTTCATCTGGTAACCCGGGAATAACAGAATTTCGGACCGACTCTCTTTGAAATTAAAGTTAAATTGCATTTTTTTACGTATTTCATATGTATCGTTGTAACACATATAAACGAATAACGAACTTTTCTACTTTATGATTTCCATTAACTTACAGCTATATTTATCAAGTAGTCCCAAAAGAAGTCTAAACAAACGCGTTGCCTGTTCAAATACAGAGTGATTTTACATGATACTATTATAAACGACTCTATTTCACTTTGACTATCTTCGTTTGTAATGATACTTGTTGTAAATGTATTTATTTGTATGTTGAAGATTTGAAATCAATGGTGGAGGAAAACAAGAAATTGACCCGGCTGATGTACTGCATGTTGTGTGTTACTGGAGAGGCGGATATTTTGTTTATGCCGTGTACACATCATCGGACTTGTCATGAATGCGCAGCAGATCTTACTATCTGTCCTGTCTGTAACTGTTTTATAGAGGAAAAGATTAAAACCTTCAGGGCTTAATGAATTTAAACATAAAAAGTTAAAAGACACGATATGTGTTTTTTTTTTCGATAGTCATGATTTAGTTATCAGTAGATGCAAGATGTCAATAAACATGAAGATTTAAGCTTTATACACGACATTCTAAATATTATCCTTTACACTGTTTCTTTGTCAAAATAGACACATTTGAAAACATTCAGTGAAAAAGTAAGATTTTGATTTACAAAGAAGAAAGATTAGATGATACGTGTGCAATAAGAGGGTTTGATAAAAATGAATGTTTGGCGAGTTAAAGAGCTTTTAAACGTATGAATATATAAACAGTGATCGGAAATAAAGCTTAAGAGATAATTATGAAAAAAGGGGAAAGAGAAAATTACTCACATAAGTCACCAAGATTAATAACATAGCAGGAAACACAGGAAAATACCAACAGAAACTTAGTTTTTCAAAGTGACATATTGTTATACTTGCAAACATCTCCCGTTGCTTATATCGAATAAAGTACTATAGTAAACAAAAACAATGCATGTAAATGTAACATAAGTTTAGTGTCTTTGGACTGTCAAGTGGAGTTTCTGGCTTCAATCGTATAAATATGTCACGAGTTAATACACCAGCAAGGCCATATTCAGAAACGGGGTAACATTAACGGGAAGTGGAAACAGTTAAGATGTTTTTAAAACAAAGGTATTAGAACTTTGGATAATGGAGAATCTGAAGAAAGGTATTTGATGATAAGCTTAACAACTAGAGTAGAAAAGGACGACAAACCCTCATAAAAACAGTCTGTGAGATAATTTTAACTTCCACTCTTTGGATGAAGACAGTGTACTTAATAAAGTATCGAGTTCGAAGGAAGAAACTGAAATGCTCACAATATGTATACGTGAATGCAAACTAAATCAGTAATTGAAATATTGTAATTAGTGAAAATACTGATACAGATATATAAACAACTGATAATCAAAACCCGGGCAACGTTTGAATACATATACGAATGTGTATAACAAATATCATACACGTGACAATCATAGAAACTTATTAAAGTAACTGACGCAAATGATGAATTCTTAACAATAAGAGAAGCGGGTAGAAAAAGTGGTGCGTGCAACAAACTTATTGCTGATTATCTTCCGAATACACTGTTGTAAATAAGCTGTTTTAATCATTGTAAACGTAAGATAAACTGTGATCATTATGCTTTTAGAGCAAAGTATCTCAATGTTACATTCCATTAGGTCATTGTCTGATAAAATGAGTTATCATTGTCTAACAAAAAGAGTTATTTCGATGTTCGAGATTATACAGATCGTAGCTCTTTTTCGCGACTTTCATCAAAGCAACACCAAGAGATGTAGCAGAAAAACCACACTATACTTAATAGAGAGTACTGAAAAGATGTAAAAGTTGTCCAGAACAGTTTTGGCAATATTACAAGGATACACGTCGATCAATTTTATTGATATATGTTTGTTCAAAATATTTGTATATGTGCAACATCCAATATAAAGGGTAAGGAAACGCTAGCCTATTGTTGCATGCCTCCCGAGACACTTTTAAGTAATTCATTTCCGGAGGTTAGGTAAAATTCGATGAGAAGTCTTTATAGACAAATGTCATTACATTTTATGCGTGAAGAATATAATGTTTATAGACAGTTGTTTTATGAATGGCGTAAACACATTAACTATTAAAGCTACTGTAAATAATGCACATATATAGACAAAAGAGTAATGTATAACCGTGCTTCATCAGATTTCCAGATATTTCATTTCTTCATTTTTATGTCTATTTCAGTTTGTCTAAAATGCGCATGCATTATACACACACCAAGGCAATTTAAAGATCAATAAATCGAGAACGTTTGCATATATAAATGGATTTTTTTAAAAAAAGTAAAATGCATTTAAATCATTCAAATTGTTTTCATTTATAAATGTTTATTCAGATATCACATTTTAAGCTATATACTAGAAATACATATTGCATCAATTTATTAAGCGTTCAATAATGTTTCATGGTATCAATTTAAATACCATATCGAAATTCCACTTCTTATGTACACCAAAACTTCGTGGACTTTGTTGTGTAAAATATATTTGAGAAATTGATTTGAAATTTTTACACTGTATGAATTACAAATAAACACATAAAAAATCATGTTAGTAGCTTATTTTATTACAATAATATTTAATTTCATATACACACATGTTGGCGACAGTGGCGCTCTCCAAAAAGTTATTGACGTCAACTTCATAATACAGTAATAAACAACTTGTGCTTCAACGTTACGCAGTCAATCACAGTAATGCCCTTGGCTTGCACACATGGTTCATGATGATGAATACAATGCAAGATTTAATTTTCTCTGTTCGCCGGCTGGTTTTTTTTTATATCTTTTTAAAGGTGTCATTAAACTATATGATCGCATGATTTTCTTATTTCTGCGTTTCCGTAATTTTCCCGTTGTATTCAATATCGGCGACTGGCATTTCTAGCGATATCAACAAAAATAGCGGAAATAACGTCAACAATTAAAAAAAAATACTAAAATGACGTCATTGAAGAAACATGCGAAGTTTAACGGTTTTCTTAGTAAAATATTAATTTGTAGCAAAAAAGAATTACCGTGACACATTTTCGTCTGTGTGCCGGGTGCTGTATATGTGCTTATTTAAAAGCAATATAAAATCATTGAAATTTTAAATATGTATATAATTATGATTAAAAAACAATTTTCTAATATTGACGAATATGTAAAATTGTACTGCAAATATTTGTTCACATTAAATGTAATCATTAAAATATATGCATTCATATTTTATTAAAAAAATTGACTTAGACTTTATGAAAATGAATTTCTAATTACCTCCCTTTATCAACATGAAATGTAAATTCGGTAATATCTTTACAAATAATGCTTTTTAGAACTTAAAATATTGATAGCACTATATTTATGATGTTAAAGCATATTAAATGAATGTAAGTTACATTATCTTTAAGTTAGTAAAATAGGTTTTATGTTCTATCTTATTAATAAATATATGCCTTACACTGACTTGAGCGGTACTCAGTTACTTAAGAGTGTTGAGGGCAACGGTCCCAAATGACCAGAAAAGAAATAACAACACTGAAGTGAAGAACGCGGGGGGGGCAACTTTTTAAAAATGGAACAAGTCATTTGACACTAGCTGTTTTGAGACATGTTAAAATATAAAACAATGAAGAAGGGTTATATAGGAAAGAACATTCAAGGTTTCTTCCTAGAAACTACAGAGCTTTGATTATATGCATTTGTTATTGGTGGACCCCTACAACATTTTTATATGTCATGACACTGGAGTAAAAATGGCAAAGCATGGGGCTCATTAACCATAATAAGATTTGTATAGTAATATGTCTTATAAATCCTCTTCGCTTAAGTTGCTATGTCCAGTTCCTATTTTACATGTGGCATCACCTTATAGTCATTTACCATTAATCATCTCTGGGATCGCAATTGTCATATTTGGCATATAGCATTTTGTAACTGACACCTAAACTTATGCAGCGATTGTGTGCCATCAAGGGTCAACATTGTCCTCTTGCCTAAAATAATGAATTCTAAAAATCCTACATGAATATTGGGCGGTCATTTGTCCTTAATTCGTATTTCATTTGTTTTAAGTTTGATTTTTCGGATATGATTGGTATTTGGATAAACGCACATTTATGATTAAACTGACATGTTGCATCGTTTTGGTCTAATTATCAAAGTTTGCTCAATTGTCATATCTGACCTGCATAAGTTTAATTATTCTGATATGACATTGATCTTCAATTGGCCTTGACCCCACTAGCCTGTGGCTCTTGTTTACATTATATTTTTGAATATAAATGTTCCAGTTTACACTTTACACAAGGCGAGATTAAAACAAGACACATTTTGTCTGTACAAAAAAAGAAGCTGTGATATTGAAGACAACAGAAAAAGCATATTTTGACAGTAGTTAAAACATAAAAGCAAACACAATAAGTAATAAGTAAAAAGTAAACTCCGTATCCTTTAACAATATTCAATGAAATAATTTGATGAAAGATTTAAAGGATGGCAAGTTAACATAGACACGAATGCAACTTACTTTGTATCAAAAACCTTAACTGGTGTAATGGGTGACAACTTTTTGCGATCGCCACACATCGACAGAGGTAATCAATATAAATTGCCGGTGTCGCGTAATAATCACACGGGCGTAATTTTACCACGGTTTACTCATGTTTTTTAAAACTTGCCTGTAACTTTATTTACAAACAAAGCGCTGTGAAAATTGGTATAAATCTTCAGCATAGAACAATTATTTCGGTACATGTATTTGAATATTCTGACAGTTTTTATGTTCTCCAGAATATATGCGTGAAATTGAGCTTAATCGCCAAATTTTGCATCTTTCGTAGGGCATTTTTAAAAAACCTGCAAGGTTCTAAAAGTATTACATTCATGAAAATAAATGCTTTTAAAACTTGTCAGGGGTGTTAAACTTTGTTTCTTGTCCATTGTTTTATTTCTAAATTGGCTAGAACTAATCTTAAGCTGTAGTTGAAAATGGCCAATTTCTCCGAAAACTAGGTCAAATTACCCGAAAATTTTGCCCGAAAGGGTACCTTAAATTTAAAACTTGTCATTCATTACCATACACATTTATTCTTAAGAATAAAGGTCTAATAACTTGCCAGATATTTTAATATTCACAATTCAATGATTTTTTTTAATCAACAAAGGCCATAAATATAAATAACACGATTTAAAGCGGCTTGTATCCTTCGGCCGTTTTTCAAAATGGCGGACAAATTCTGTTAAAATGTGATCTAAATACTTTCTATTAACTGAGTACGTATGCGTCATTATATTGCATCAACTTTGATATCAAAATGTTAAAAAACGTTTTCCCAACTCAACAAATCATTAAGACAAAAATGACAATTCAAATTAACAATGGAACTCCACAGCTTTCTGCATTTAAGTCAGCTGCCATTTTTGCCAATTGAGGATCACTTAACTATGGTGTCTGATTTGTGCTTATAATTTCGTTATTTTGTTTGGTTGTAATTGTTACAAGTAGCAAAACCTTGAAGAGAGACAGAATGAGAAACATTATAAAAAAATTATTTTGTCACACACCTTTTTACCCTTTTTAAGTATTTTGTAAATATAGGCCCTTCAACCGCAACAACACAAAAAAGATAAAATGATGAGAGGGGACACATTTTTTCCATGTGTCATAGGGTGAAAGAAATGTGCAGACTGACTGGAACTGGAACCCGGGACCCTAAATAGTGAACACTTCTGAACTGTGACATACTCCCCTGCTATATTGAAATTCTTCCTCGAGTTTCACAGAGTTACAGAGAAATGTAAATTAAATTCTGAGCTAATGATTATTCAGTCACGGTCCCCCATTGGGCGCAAAGTGTCAATGGGTGAGAAAAATGTGCAGCCCGAGCAGAAATCGAACCTGGGACCCTCGGAATACCATATCGCTGCCCTACCGACTTAGCTATTTGGCCGCTTACACATCATCTCCCCAAAACAGTGAATAATTCTGACCCCTGCTTTCTTTAAATTAATCCTTGAATTTCACAGAATTACAGAAAAATAAATATAAACTCTGAGCTATATTCAGTCACGGTCCCCCGTTTGGTGCCACTAAAAAAGTGTCACAGGGTCACTGAGAAAAATCTGCAGCCTGAATGGAACTCAAACCTGGGACCCTCAGAATACGGTACCATGGCTCTATCGACTTAGCTATCCGGCCACTTACACATCATCTCTGTTACATAGTGAACAGTTCTGAACCATGACATACTCCCCTGCTATATTGAAATTCATCCTCCAATTTCACAGAGTTACAGAGAATTGAGATGCGTCACAACAAAACCAACATAATGGCTTTGCGACCAGCATGGATCAAGACCAGCCTGCGCAGTCTGATCAGGATCCATGCTGTTCGCTTGCAAACCCTGTAACAAGTACAGAAACTTATAGCGAACAGCTGATCCTGAGTCCTGATCAGACTGTGCGGATGCGCAGGCTGGTCTGGATTCATGCTGGTCGCAAAACCATTAAGTTGGCTTTGTCGTGACGTGGCTCAAATGTAAATTGAACTCTGAGCAATATTCAGTCATGGTCCCCTGTTGGGTGCCAAGTGTCACAGGGTGAGAAAAATGTGCAGCCTGACCGGAACTTGAACACGGGACCCTCGGAATACTACACTGCCGCTCTTAGTCATTTTAGCTATCCGGCCACTTTCAAATCATCTCTCCTAAATAGTGAACATTTCTGAACCGTGACATACTCCCCTGCTATATTTAAGTTCATCCTCAAATTTACTGAGTTACAGAGAAATGTTAATTAAACTCTGAGCAATATTCAGTCACGGTCCCCCGTTTGGTGCCAAGTGTCACAGGGTCATTGAGAAAAATCTGCAGCCTGAATGGAACTCAAACCCGGGACCCTCAGAATACTTGTTTGTTTGTTTGTTTGCTTCATTTTACGCCTTTTTCAACAGTATTTCAGTCATATAGGCGGGTAGTTTCCTAACCATCGTTCCTGGAGAGTTACACCAGTACTAGACTACCTTCCTCCGCGCTAAACTACCAAAGCATCTCCCGGGGATCGAACCCATGCCAGAGAAGTAACTGGATTAGAAGTCATCAACTCTAATCCCTCGACCACGGCGGCCGTCTCCTCAGAATACTGTACCATGGCTCTATCAACTTAGCTATCCGGCCCCTTACACATCATCTCTGTTAAATGGTGAACAGTTCTGAACCATATGACATACTCCCCTGCTATATTGAAATTCATCCTCCAATTTCACAGAGTTACAGAGAATTGAGCCGCGTCACGACAAAACCAACATAATGGCTTTGTGACATAGAATGTACAAACTTTTTAGAATTGAAGTTGGTTCATTTGCTTTTGTAATTATTTATGAACATCATTCATACTTGAAGATTATTACGTTTCTTCATTTTAGGTCGATCGATGTTTTCTTAAGCAATGTTAATGATTCTATAGCATGCCTGTTTTGTCTATATTTTAAACAAGGTTATCATTAATGTCAACTTAGTAGATCACGTTTTATTGTTCGCTTGATTGTGGAGTGACCTATTGACGTCGGTAAAGAATGATTATGACTTTTCTTTAGTTCTATTTCTTTTTAAATCTTTATTGTTTCGGTTTATCTGCAATAGTATTTCAAGTTTAAAAACGGTCACATGAATACACAAGGAAGATAATGAAACTTGTACTGTCTTTTGAATACGGATCATATCATCATTTATAACAAAGAACAAATATGTGTTTTAAGCTTAAGGAAGACCAAAAAAAGTAATTTTAAAAATGATACTCGGTCGAAATAAAGCTGGTTAACATGCACAAGTTTTTGATACATATAGAAATGCCAGCAATGCTTGCATACAATGACATAATATTTTTTGTGGCAAATGAAACCTATAATTTGTAAACAAGGAAACCGAATTATAAGCATATTAATAATGATGTCTCTTCGAAGTACCGTTTATTTTGTGTGTAGTCACTTCGTAAATTTAGTTTTACTACCAGTGTAAATTGTTTATTCTTACATACTTAATGTTATTTAAGATTTTAAAGAATAACTTTAACACATTTAAATCAAAGTGAAATTGAAAAAGGAAATTTATATATGAAAACGTTTTGTTTGTATGAAAAGTAAAGAATATTTAAGTTTTTCTAGAAGTACAGGATTTATTTTCATCAAGGTGTATGTAAATAAATATTTTCATGTGTATGAACGTCAACATTAATTTGTGGTCTCGTTATTGTGGGGAAAATATTAACTGATTAAGTTCTTGCGTAAAATAAACTCAAAAAGTTCTTATGTTAAATAAATGTTCACCAGTAAATGTAATGAGATCTGCATACAGTGTGAAATGTTTTGTAGAAGAAGAATGGTTAAACCGAACTTATACATCTTAGTAATTGAGCTAGAAAATTAAAGAAATATCCTTAAAATTTACTTTTAAACCATCCTGTACATTGTATTTAAGACGATCTTTGACCAAAAAATAAACAACATTTTATCAAATTGTTTCCTTTGAGAAGTACACTTTTGCTTTAGAATATATTAAGAATACATAATTTTCAACTTAAGCTTGTGATAAATTTTGAGTTAACTATTAGGGTTACTCAAGAGATTTACCTATCTTTCTGCTAGTGGAACGTTTTCATCACTTAAAATCTTGAGGTTTTAGGATGTTCCCTTATAAGGATGTTGATAGTACAAATGTAACTGATGCTAAAACAGCATCATTTAGGTATGTCATGTTAAAATGCAAATGATAACCATTAAAATGAAAGAAATAGGCATAACTATAAATTGTTTTGGCGTCATTTTATCATCAAATGAATGTCCAAGGCAATACATTTTCTATCAAACCTTTTTAAATAGAAGTATCGGTTGTTCGTTTTTCAAAGAAATTGATAAAAAAAGTGTAAGTACAACCGGTTATTTACATGTTCTAACTTTATCGCATATATTCTTCTTTACCAACTAGTATTGAGAGAAAAAAATCTATTTATTCAGGCCGTCTAGGAAATGTTTTATATTATTTTACATTGCTTTGTTGTTATATGAAAAGATAACGGGGACCAATATGAGGGTATGTTTTATATCTTCAAGGGACAACAACCACATTTATTGTTTTGCATTGTCCTAAAAAAATTTACGAGGTATATTTATTATACCGGTATCAAAGTGTCATTCTTTACTCCGGACTGTATCTTATACGTGTGGCATCGTTTGCGTTAAGAAAACAATTATTGTTAAAATACGTTTAACCACATCAAGTAGGTTTTTCTTTTAAAAGCAAGATGCGTGGAATGATTTATTCATGTAAGTACACTTTTAATTACGTGTACCTTAAAACTTTAAATTCGAGTAACAAACTGACATAATAACACAACACTTGTAAAAATTTAATGAAAATAGAATTGATATACATTAAACAAAATGTTAATAATTTGTTATCTGCTGACAAAAATTCATTTGCGGCATTAATATTTTATATTCAATTTCTGATAAATATTAAGCATAGAAAGAAGAAAGATATTTTTGAGCGGGTTGTTATTTGTTTTCCGGCATTTATTCCTGGTATTTGTCGGGACTTCCTAAATGCCAAGCAATCAGCATAGACTGTCTGCCGTAGACCGGAGTTAAACGGAGTCAGTCTTTTAGTAAAATATAGATATTTGTTACATCATGTAAATTAGTTTGTAAAATATACAATAAAAATGTTTTAGCAAGATAATTCTTGCATATCATTGAAAAATAAAAAAAAACAACAAAAAAACAAAGAATTAAAAAATGATAATAAATGGTGAAATAAGACATAATTTATTCTGATATATGTTTATATTATTTTATACTTAAATATTAATGAAATATTGAGAATTATTGATGAAATAAAATGCATATTTTTATTTTCCGTACTTTCACTGCAGTGAAACATATTTACCGTTTTTTTACACAACTGCCTTGACGGACTACTTTCTTCTAAATCCAGCCAGTAAAAGAATAAGGGAACGTCCTTCAAATTGTAATGTCAAAAAAATGAGATTTCTTTTCTAAAAATACAGGATTCATTTTCATCTTGTGTTATGACAATTATTATTATATTTCACTCGTGGATACTGCCACTCATGAAATATTTATTCTCATATCTCTCGATGAAAATAAAACAAAATTTCAAACCGTGTTGGGACTTCAAATCAATTCTGAACTGAAGTTAAATTATACTTATTATTTGATCTTCTCCCATTTCTAAAATCTGCTTAGAACGAATAATTTCTAGACAAACTCTGATTTAAATGACCTGTTATTATGAAAACATTACAGTACTTATTTAAATATTCAATCCAAGTTCGGTTCTGCCCTGTGTCGTTTTCGAAAGTTATAATTTTTGAGATTATTAATAAGTATGGGAAATAGTACGAATGATTTGAAAATATCCACTAGCTTAATGTATAGATCTTCATAACATCCGCAATGACACAATCGGCAAAAGTTATTACCTAATAAAAGAGAGATCTGTAGTTCAAGCCTCACAGTTGCCTTTTCTTTTCTCTTTGTAAAATCATTATTTTTTGCAGAAATTTTATCGAAATGACTGAGTGACTGCAAAAATGCAGGCACGTATGTAAAATGACTAAGAAACACTTTTTTCTCGTTTGTATTTCATGGATTAGGAATGACATATATTTTATCATTTAATCATTTAACGATTTTATCTAAAGAAAGTTTAGACTTTATCAAAAGAAATGCAAAACTTATATAATAAGAAAAAAGGCACGATGATGATCAAAGCAATAAATATATTTTTTTAAATAAAGAAATAAACAAACAACAACAATATGCATTTAAGCGGTCCCGATAGGGTATGTATAATTTATCAACCCGTAAATTCCCCGCTTGCACTATTACACTTAGTATAACTTACAATATGTCTATGACATTGTATCTTATCATGTTTATCTCACGACCTTTACCGAAAGTCATCGAATATAAATTTATTGTGTGCATTGACCGTATCTGCATACATTTTAATAAAATCAAACAATATCTGGTATCAGGAAGAAACAACTGTAAACATGTATACCATTATTTGCCATTTACACAATTAAAAAATATTCTTAAAAAGTATAGAACGGTCTATTATGAAGAACACCTTGTTCTTAATAAAAAGTGACAACTAAGTGACACCAACACTTAAAATCCCGGCAGTGTCATACCTTTATAATTACCTAGCAATTTAAAAATCAGGATTTCCAAGAGCAAATAGCTATTCCGAACGTATCATTGCAATTTCCTTAAATACATTATTGCGGCATACTTTCAGGTGTATTTCTATTTCTGGTTCAAGCCATCAGAATAAAAGGTTTGCACATTTTTATTTTTATTAGGCAGTGGAACGTATCTGTAACTTATAATTAAAAATTCGCTTCTGATAATAAAGACACTTAAATTGATCATGAGTTTTAATCAAGTGTAATCAATATTTGCGACTTTTATCATAAAAATTCAGATTCGCGCTCGTCTTATTGTCAGTCTGAACATGTGTTAATATGACTGTTCACTACGGAGCAAAATTAAATTTATTTTTTGTGAACATTGTAATGTGTTTTTAGTCTTCGAAAAGTAAATATTGATTTGAGTATGCAATTAGGGATTTTGAGCAAACATTAAATATGGATTTGCTTATATTTATCCTTGTCAATTTATGCAAATGTTACAATTACAATGTTAGTGATGTGGTTGAAATATTATGAAGAAAACGGTTAAAGCTGAAACTTAAAAGATGTTATATTATTTCTATGTTATTCCATTTATTTAACACACAGAATGATGATGTTCTGTTCTAGTCAAATGCTTTTTTCAATTACTTACGTTGTTATTTTCTTCTTTTAGCATCAGATTGCCAAGATGATAAAAGTATGGACTGTGCAAAACTAGACAAATTGTTTGATATCTGTAAAGACATACACGATGCCAAACTCGTATGTCGTAACTTCTGTAACTTATGCAGTCTAGGTAATACCTGTTGATATTGCTGATTCTTTTTTATTAGATTAACAAATATGATAAATAATCATTCATCAGATTATCAAACAAAATACTGAGTACAATTATGATTTAGATTCAATGCTTATTAAACTCCTTCACTCTGTTTATGAAACTGCATGTCATTTTATCTCTGTCTATACCTCTCTCTCTAAAAACAGTTGATGGTAAATGGGCGGATTGGTCGCACTGGTCAGAATGTGACGTCACATGTGGTAATGGTAAGCACTCGAGAGTCAGGACATGTACAAATCCAGCGCCTTCCAACCAAGGTTTAGAATGCACGGGAAACAAAGTAGACGATAAGCCTTGTACACGTCCATCTTGCCCAGGTAAAAGAAATCCGTTAAGACTAGAAAAAAAACAGAAAAATATAAAGAAAGAAAAACATTGAAAATGGAAACATTTACGATGGAGAGCTTGGAATTGAAAGTGTTGTAGGCTCGATTTGTTTCAATTTGTTTCTTGATACGTAAGTGGTATTGTAAGCCACAACCGGCGCCACCACCATAACATGGCACTTCAAAGTGAAAATTGTCCTTTTTTAAACAATTAGCACATCTCAACAGATACAGTCACAGTGGTGACCATGGACACATCTTTAAAAGAGACGTTTGTTCCCATAGTTAAAGAATATGTGTGTCTTAGACGGGGAATGAGGTTGAATATATGGTTATGAGGACGTTTCAGATTTCGATATATATACAAATTGAAATAGCGCTAGTTTTCTGTAAGGTTGTTAAATACTTAAATATCAGCAGAAATATTATCAAGTTTACTTATTTTCCGAAATTTCTTTTCAAGTTCATGGAGGATGGTCAAGTTGGTCGAATTGGAGTGCATGTCCAGTAACATGTGGAATAGGAATGCAAAAACGTCACAGAAATTGTTCGAACCCATATCCTTTGCGTTATGGTGATCATTGTTTCGGAGATGCACTTGAGTATAGAATTTGTGATCAGGAGCTGTGTGATGGTACGTTAAAATGAAACTGAATTTAAATTCAATAGAGAACGAATAATACAAATAACATATAATGAGTGTATAAATGTAGTGAAATTTTTTTCCATATCATAACGTTTAAAGGAAAGATAACTTGCAGTATGCTAAGATGTATGTTTTCTCACTCCTATTGTATTACTAATGATTGTATAATTAGATGGCGTTTGGGGAAATTGGGAACAATGGGGAACTTGTGGTCCAACCTGTGACAGTGGCCTACGTCAAAGGTTCAGGTCTTGTGCAAAGCAGATTGGAACAATATGTGAGGGGCGATCAAACGACGTTCATCTCTGCAATACCACACATAATGATTGCAGTAAGATTTTGATATACCGTTATTGCAGTCATCGAGAAACTGCAATTTTGCAATTGTATCATTTTACTTTAACTTTAAACGAAGGTGATAAATAAAATTTCTTAGTTTCATCCAGTGAAATATCAAATGAATGTTTTAATAGTAAAAGTAGGTAAAATGCAAAATATATGAAACGAAAAATCAAAGTAAAACCTTATCCACCGGTATCATTTTTTTGCTACGTTGTCATTTCACGAATGAATCATTTAATATGTAAAGATTATGACACTACTCGTATCTCGTAGGACCGTTTGTGCATATTGTAAGTGACATATGAACATAACTTTTTTATTACGTTTCATCTTCGTTAAATTTTGTTGGTTTTTTATAGTAGTACAAACATGTACGTCCAAGCCGGCAGACACAAATTTGACAAATGTTGCTCTTCGAAAAAATGTTTTGCTATCTTCAACCCACCCGGATTTTAAAAGCAGTTGGTTGGTAAGATCTAGATTAAATACTGTGACATATTACAAATGTGTAATTTAAAAAACGTTTATACGTAATAAATATGATTGAAGATGGGCTTTAAACAATTATAATAGAAAGTTATATTCATGAAATGTTAGTGTATTTAAATTAAAACTACATCTCTTTATAATATTCAGAATATGTGATAACTGCCTTATATCAATTCAGCCATTAATAGATAAAACATTAGTCAGAATGAATTATTATTGGTGTAATGATTTTCTGATGGCAAATAAACTCAACATGAAAAAAAAAGTCCGCAATGTGTTCAGGACAACTAGATTACTTTGGAAAACTAAATAATATGTAGTTTCGTTAATTGATACATATTTTCTATATAAATTATATCATCTTAGGTTGACGGTAACCTGGCAACTATGGCACATACACTTGGTGGACGAAATCCGTATGCATTGGTTGATCTTGAAGACGTGTATAGAATATTTTATATTCATATAGTCAATCGTAAGGACTGTTGTGGTATGTTTTAATTCAAATTTAAGTATTCTTATTATCCTCCTTTATAATATAAATTCTATAATCCCAAGTAAAATGCAACAAATCTCATCTTGAGACTTTTCTTTTTATTTGTCACCTTTTCTGTCTATATTTTTACATTTCACATAATTTTAATATTTTTCTTTATATTTTGGAATCCTGACTTACCATCTGTTTCAATACGGTTATTTATTTCAGCCTTCAGAACTCATGACGTCGTCATTCAAGTTGGACTCAAGCCTTCCAGTTTATTTACTGTTGCTCGTCATAAGTCGGCAATAGGTGCTAAGTGCACTTTTAGTTTCGAGCACCAAGTCAGGGGTCGTTACGTGAAAATCATGCTGGAAGCCATGGATGATTTAAATATCTTAGAGCTTGAAGTGTTTGCGTGACTGATTTGATTTGACTTGGCTAGGTTACTTAAGTGAACCGAAATAAAGATAAGGAAACTATCAATATTGACCCTCATAATATTGTGATTATTTGTTTGTAGATTTTATACATTGACAATTCAATTTGTCTGTACGAGTTCATAGCATTTCAAGATACCATAGTATATATCTAATAATATCGTAGAGTCTTGTGTGAAAGTATCATACAATTGTTACCTTATTATGTTTAATCCGTTTAATAAACTCAACAGGTACTCAAATAGTTGCTGTAACTAATTTTGGACTTAAATGAGCTTTAACATACATTTCTTTCTTTATTAATCATATGTTTTGGACAGATTATTCTTTGTTATATAATTCATTTACAAGCCTTTTCTAAAAGAAAAATACTTTATTACAATAATTTTAAATTAAGTTTACAATATGCAATCAACCTACTTCTGTTTAAGAAATTAGTTGGTTTAACATTGATAGATTATATTCCCGAAATAAATCTCACATTAATGGTTTTTATATGCCATGGATTTATTTTTAAAACTTAATAACAATTTTAATATGAGATCAGGTAGGAAACTTTTGTTTAAATTATCGTAGGTTGTGCTTCTTGTATTAAACTATACAAAACAAAGCAGTGTATGTAAAACAATAAATAATAATAATCGTTTGTGCTTTTCATTTCAGTGTCTCTTAAGGACGTTTTCGGGAGTTTTCATATAGACATATACACGTAGGCAATGAAATGATCTCACATAAGGAAAATTTTCTGATTCAGGGGCAGATAACTCGAAAATGAGAACGGTGACCCCATTTATTCTGTTTAAAATGTTTCTGTTATCATTTTCTAACAACATGCCAAGTTTAAAGAAATGCTATTGAACAGTTTTAATTTTGCCTATATGTCTATATGAAAACTACCAGAAACATCCTTAAGTAGTATATTCATTTCCATTTTGTCAATAAAAATGAAATAGTAGAAAAGTACTCAAATATAAAACGGAAAAAAGAAAACAAATTAATATATATCTTTATAACTTGGTGTGTACGGCTAATAAACATTATATTAAAAACTTATCTGTGTCGTTATGTCTGTAAATATCTGTTTAAAATTAACTGTAATTTATAGCAAATATTAAATTACAAAACAGTAAAAATGGATGATACAAGTGTCGTGACATCAAAAAATTATGGTCAACAATGTACATAGCGACTCATCATTTAGTATCATGCCATTAACATGTCTTATATTTAAATATCTTAAAATTTTCTGGTCCTTTTGAATCATTAATTACAGCACTTTATGTTATGCTCAAGCCGGTCCTAGGGGCCTGGGTGATGTTGCACTTTTTCTCAATACCTCATGTACAGACACAATCAAACCGAGTCTGCAATTTTCATGTAATTTTGCCGAAAAAATAATGTTTCCAAAGGGATCATTCTTTCCCAAATATTTAGGCATAAATCAAAACATATTTTATAATTAGTTATTTGAATATAAGATGCCAATACTAGTTTTCATTACAATAGGATATGATGAGATATTTGTAGGTGCGTAGATTAATAACAAAAAGCTATTTGGATATATATTCGGCCCATTGAACATAATGTCAGTCAGGAAAGAAGTAGGTGTTGTTTATTTATAATGCACCCCAAACCCTTCGAAGAAGAATACTGTTTTGTTGATCAATATGTCCGTCGGTAGACCACATGGTTTCCGCTGATTATCTTGAGAACTATTTATCACAAAGTCTCCATATTTCACATAATGATTTGGCATTACTATTAAATGATCCCTAGCGATTTTGGGGAAACTATGTCAAAGGTCAAGGTCACATGGGCCTTAACAGTTGGACTTATTTCCGCTCATTGTCTTTAAATTATTTTTTACGAAGTCTTTATACATGTCATATTTCACTTACTGATTTGGCATATCTAGTAGATGACGCTTTTTGATTTTGAGGTTACTAGGTTAAAGATAATAGTGGCAGGTGCCTTAAATGTCAAAATGGTTTTCGCTCATTCAATTCTTTTTTCACCTTCTTCATTTTTCACACACTGAAAAGCCATATGTAGTAGATGACCCTATTTACTTTAGGATCATTAGTTCAAAGTTTTTTTTTTCCATAACTGAACACTTTTTGAACCCATTTATAGCAAGTTCCTATAACGAAATTACCAATTATATGACTCAATGGCTAGAAAGGGGGACATATGTATTGTTCGACAATTCTTGTTTATTTTATTTTTGTTTGATGAATTAGTAATAAAATAGTTTTGCAATGTAAAAGAAGGGACATCTGGTGCTGTATAGATGATAAGTATGGTCGACCGTTTATTGTACACCTATTTGCGATATTCAAGTATACATAATGATTTACAAGTCAATTATGAAAACGATCATGCACCCAGTATATGAAAACATATGTGAAGAGTTGCGTTGAAATAATATAATGAAAATCAGAACAAAGATGTCATCTTTTATGAACAAAGGCGTGCAGATTTTTCACTCATCCATATAAATGGATTATCATAATTAATATGTCAACTAACAGACCAAAATGATAAAATGTGTTTTTTTTAACAAGAGAATGTTTACAATACTAAATAATTCAAATTAAATTTAACAGTGATTAAACATTTGAAAAAGGCTAAGCAAATTTAATCGTCAGGGCCACCACACATTTAATGAAAATTTGTAGATAACTCCTTTGATATATGTCAATTCTTCCTGAAAAAAAATGATAATAGATTTAAAATTTTAAACACACTAAACCATTTTATTTCCTGTTCATATTACATGATATATTTACGGAAATGAACACTTCAGTTAAAGAAATAATGCCGGTTTGTGACACAAAATGTATTTTATGGTGGTTTATACCAATCACAAGTTTTAAAAGTGAAACAGTAAATCCTGAAATGGACGTTAAAATAGTTAATCCTGAAACGGAACATGTATGCTAAGTGAAATAACTTATGACAAAATAACGGTATTATACATGTCTAAATAACAAAGCGGTATTTTTCCTGCATATTCAATAGGATAATCGACTGTTTAGACCGGTGCTAGACAACCGTGTAAGACAGCTCACGTGCTTTAAATTACGTCATTACCGCGCGCCTCTTATGAATGAATTGCATTCATAGGGTGACGTCATTTCTCCATTATGAATAAAGTTGTAAATACATACAATATTTTAAGAATAAAGTGCTACATAGAATATTAGTTTTCGTCATTTATTTTAGAAATATTATTATTTTTTAATATGAAAGAAAAGAATCAACACCGGCTGTCGTCACAGTCCCGATTACGAGCGATCTACATTCCAACATCTAAGCTCTGGGCACTAAGTTTTACATACGTAATATATATGAAGGTGTCTACAAGGCAATGCTACATACCAAATATCTGGCCCATTGTAGTACATGTACCACATAATAAATGTCTTTTCTTATATAAGGCTATAGGAAATAACGGCCTCCAAGGGGCGGGCGAATAGTTACTTAAAAGGTGTAATTAATATAATTTTAAAAAAGTCCAAACGGCAATGCTACCTGTGAGATATCTGCGTTCTGCAATCGCCTTATTATAATGAACATTTTTACCAACTAGTTTTAACTTCCTTTTTTCGGTTGAAAAGATACAGAGCGAACAGAAAATGTCTTACAGACGGACGGACAATTTGCCAAGTGCAAAAAATATACGCCGTAAATTGTTTAAGGCGTATAAAATGCTTACTTATGTTACATATTTTTGGGTACAAAATAATATACTGAAAAAACATATTTTGACAAAATGATTTCCTATTAAAATATGAACATGTAAACATAGAAAAAGTACTTCATCCCAAAAACAATATTCACGAATACGTATGATTGGATATTTAATCCAATGAACATTAAAATAAAACACTTGGGTTGTACAAGTTCAAATGATATATATTTAGAAAAGTTTGTTCTTCCTAATCTTTTTTAAGTTCAAGTATAACAAAGTAAATGGTTCATTATCATGTGTCTTTGTCTTTTCGTTCGTATTTTAAACGAGGTTATCACAAAGGTTAGTAGAATGCGATGTTTACTTATCAATGGCCATGATATTGTTTTTTGCATGTTATTTTTCAGCTTTTGTGCTAAGTTACATGCACTTAATGTTACTTTTTATCTACAATAGTAACAAAAACTTGCAAACGTTCATGTGAATATACAAGGAAGATTTTACAAATTGTTAAGTCAACTGTATAAGGATAATGTAACGTTACATCATTCATTTTGGAATGACAAGGCTGAAAACAGAACAGAGAAGAACATACATTTTATTAGACTTATAATAAGTGTATCATTCTCAAACATAAACTTTAATGACAAACATGTCACATATCTAAAACATTTTGTCAAAGTTAAATCATATGCCTATTTTACATACCTGTAGAACAAAGACAATAAAGTAATAAGTAAGCTGAACACACATCCCCAATGAATTTAAGACCTTGATCATAAGAGGAGTTCTTTTGTTTTTATAATTTTAAAATTTCGTTCTTTTTTATCATTGTATTAAAAATAAATACGATAAAATGTGAGAATTTTTTCCATGTTTATATGTAACTATTGAATATAAATATAGTATTTTTCAAATACATTTATTGTTACAACCATTCACTCGCTAGAATAGTTTCAACCATTCAATATTAGCTATGGTAAGATGCATAATAACACTACAATAGAGAATATTTATCGACAAATAGATAAATATATTTCTTGCATACTGTTATGCTTATAAATATTCATTTGTAATTGAAACAAAAACAATAATAATAATTATAATAAAGAAAGTAAAACAAGAACAAAAACAACTACTCGAAACGAGTTGCTTTGACTAATTAATAGATGAAGTAAATGCAAACAATGATAACGCTAAAGATAAACTTCTAAAAATTAGATCTTATGTGACAAGCTTTTCTTACTAAAAGATAAAAAAATCAAAAGGTTTAGAGAAAATTAATCAGTAGATACTTATAAGTCTTACTTTTACGTAAGATAAAATAAATTTACATTTCGTTCTTTCTGACATAAATTACATTATGATGTATATGTCGTACTTTCCAGAACTTGTAAGGAAGGTTTTCTAATTTGTTTGTTCGTCTGTAAGGTTTACCTTTTACTAATTAAATAAGATAATACGCTCTGCTAAATATGCAATGTACAAAAGAAGTATAATCTCATCATTGAATAAATAAGCGACGACTCTAAAACGGAAAAGAAAATAAGTTTGGCCTCAGTTAGAACTAAAAGATATTAATCTGTCACACAGGTATATATACAGTCATTCTTTCTTAAGGATTGCACCATGTAGCATCGACTTTATTCAAAATCATAACAATGAAAATACACTTAATTTACTAGAAGAAGTTAAAAACCGCGATGATTGGAATAAGTATTTTTTCATGTAAGTTTACATTATTTTATGTATATCAATGAGTTTAAATTATTAATGGCTATAATATGATATAATTATGGTTTCTGTTTCACTGTTTTTAAATTTACATAACGCTGCTATTAAAGCACAAATAGATATGGTTGTTATTCTCATTGCAACTTTCACTTTCTTGCAGGTTTCCTTCTTTTACTCCTTCAATCCAGTCCAAGCACAGGTTTGTAGACTCCTATTCTTTAATAACTCGCTGTTAAATAATAATAATAATAATAAAAATAATAAAAATAATAATACTAATAAATATATGAATAAATAAATAAATAAACAATAAAAGCCATTTTTACTACTTAAAGTGTTATCAATGAACGGTTTAACCAAAGTTAAGACACTTAGCTTTTACAGCTTTGACCTAATGCTTGCCAAAATATAAAAACAATGTCGACTGCTTTGTTAGAAAATGTATTACGTATATACGTTGATGTTTCTTTTGGGGAATATTTTTCTAAAGAAAGCGAGTTGATATGTAAATATTTGCTGAAAACATTGTCATTCATCACTTTTAATATACATGTAGTAATGGTAGACATTTTATTCTTGCAGGATTTTTTCATTTCATCGGACATATTCATAACAAAGGTTTAAAGCTTTCTTTACTTAATCAAAACTTTAAAAAACTTCAAATTATTGTTGTTAAGTAAACATTTGTCTTAATTATGCTTTCATAATTAAATAATTTGAAAATGAATTGATAACATTTTACATAAAATGTTGCCAGCATATAAAATATTATACATAGCAAAGGTGAAATATTATTCAGATTATTGCGAGTCATTGTTATTTGTCATTTCGTGCAATGCTGTTAAATCACTAAAATATATCATGAATTATTTTTTCAGCATTTCGGAAGTGCTTATAAACTGAGATTCAATAATGTTTTAAATGTACACTTAAGGTGATTTTAGCAAGCATAAAAGATCAAAATTTAAAAACACTGTAACTTAAAAGAATTTCCACTTGTTTTAATATTTTCTTTTCCTTTATTATTATATACGTTGTATTTAAAATAAATCCTCATTCAGATTCATGTTTTTAAAATTCTTTTAGCACCAACATGTCGAGATGATAAAAGCATGAATTGTGCAAAGCTGGATCAAATGTTTGATGTTTGTAAAGACATACACAAGGCCAAAACAATTTGTCGCAGCTTCTGTAAATTATGCCTACTAGGTATTGCCTATTGAAATTTTTGATTTTATATAGTAGTCATCCAATGAATAATGAGTATCGATACATATTCCATTTATTGATTAATACCGATAATGAGAAGTTAATAAGATAAATGTAAACTTAACATACATCGACATTAAACACATCATGTATAAAAAAGTAAATATAGATTTCTTGAAACAATGAAAGATTATCCATCTTGCAATAGTTGATGGTAAATGGGCGGATTGGTCGCACTGGTCAGCATGTGACGTCACATGTGGTGATGGCAAGCATACTAGAGTCAGGACCTGTACAAACCCAGCGCCGGCCCATCAAGGTCTGGAATGTGAAGGAGTAAAGATTGATGCAAAACCATGTCAACGGCCTTCTTGTCCAGGTAATCAATGTTACAGTACACTTTCTCTTATTGGTTCAGCTGGAGTTTGTTTGTTTGTTTGTTTGTGCGTGCGTGCGTGCGTGTGTGTGTGTGTATATAATTATACATTTTTCCTATCCCACAACTCTTTCTTTTTTAGATATTTGTTTTAATCGAATAAAAACACGTCATAATACATGTATTTATATATCAACATATGATCGTTTCCTTTGAATGATTACAAGTTCATGGCGGATGGTCTGGTTGGTCGAACTGGAGTACATGTCCAGTAACATGCGGAATAGGAATGGAGGTCCGTCACAGAAATTGTTCAAACCCATATCCTTTGCGGTACGGTGACCATTGTTTCGGAGATGCACTTGAACATAGAATTTGTGATCAGAAGCCGTGTGATGGTACGTTCCAAGTAAAGACGCATTTATAATATTAGTTTGAACCATCATTTATATTGACTTGTTCATAAAAGACGTACAATATTGTATTAAAGGCATTTCATTTATCTTTATAAACCTTCTAATTTTATATTGAACGAAAATTTTAAACATCTTGATAACATTGCATTATGTAATGAAAAAAAGTACTAGACTATGAAAATTTACAGATGCTGTCTGGGGGAACTGGGAGAGGTGGGGAGCATGTAATCCTTCCTGTGAAAGTGGAGTACGTCAAAGGTCAAGGTCATGTACAAACCACATTGGTACAAAATGTAAGGGGAGAGCACTTGAAGTGAAGTTGTGCAATAAACATGATTGCTGTAAGTTTTATTAAAGATAAGTGAAAATAAAACTTGAAAGTTTTTTATATATCTTATTAATAATTCGAAAAACGTAAATTTATTACTTAGAATTATGCTATTTGAAAAAGTAAAATTGAATTTCTCTTACTTTGCTGACGAAAGTTCCTTTTTAGTGTGCTCTGATTATAAAAAAAACTCCATTTTAAACTATTTTATTTTCGCTATCAAAAAATCTAAGGGTAATATGCACATGAATAGTTTTAAGTGATAAGGAATAAAGCATTAAGCATTATTTTTCCACTTATATGCGCTTGAAATCTTTTTATATTATTAAGAGAAAGGTTTAGATCTTGTTTCCAAGTTTATTTTTCATTATAATTCTATTTTTATTTGTGTTGTATGTTGTAGTAAATACCTGTACATTCAAGCCGAACAACGTATCATTAAACTACAGAAACGTTGCATTTGGAAAAAATGTACGCCTGTCTTCGACCCATTATGCATTTATCGGCGCAAAGATGGTAAGATCTTTTTTTTAAATATTGTCTAATTTTACCTTAAATTAAATGGCCAAGTTTCATAAAAAAAATTGAAATAACACTTAAATGTCACAGACAACATGAACAATATTGATAAATTACACTTTTTTCAAACAGCATAATTTAGAGAGTTTTATGAACATTATATTGTTACTAATGTTATAGAAATTACATTCTACGAAAAAGAACTTATGCGCAGGACAATGAAATACTTCAGAAATCTGACTTAAGTATATGTATACATAAATTCTATATCTTAGGTTGACGGTGACAAGGATACTTTTACACGTACAGATACTGAACGAAATCCATATGCATTAGTTGATCTGAATGACGTGTATAGAATATTTCGTATTCATATAGTCAATCGTAAGGACTGTTGTGGTATGTTTTAATCAAATATCCTTTTTTTTTAAATTAAATATAAATTCTTAAATCTCAAGTAAAAGGCAACAAATAATAGCTTTAGATTGTCTTTATTTTCTTACTTACTTTGTCCATACTTTCACATTTCACACATCTTAAATGTTTTTTTTTCTTCTTTTTTTGACATTTGGAAATACTGACTGGTAATTGAAATAATGCACCTGCTTCATTAAGTTTATTTATTTTAGCAAACAGACTTCATGACGTCGTCGTTCAAGTCGGACTCGAGCCTTCCAGTTTATTTACTGTTGCTCGTCATAAGTCGGCCATAGGTGATGAGTGCACTTTTAGTTTCGAGAACCCAGTCAGAGGTCGTTACGTGAAAATCATGCTGGAAGCCATGGAGATTTTAAACATCGGAGAGCTTGAAGTGTTTGGGGAACACGTGACTGATTTGAATTGACTTGGCTAGGTTAAATAAGTGAACCGACATAAACATAAGGAAACTATAAATATTGACCATCATAATAATAATGTATTTATTTGTTTGTTAAGGTTATAGATTGGAATTTGAAGTTTATAGAATTTCAAAATAACATAGTATAATGACCAATAATATCTAACTGTCGCGAGTGAAAGTAATATACATTTTTGTACCTTGGTATATTTAACCCTTTCAAAACATTTAACATGTATTCAAATACTTTCTATCACTAACTTTAGACTAAAGTTAACTTTAATGTACATCCTTTTTATTTAGCAGATGAATTATTTTGTTATATAATTGGTTTACAAGCCCTTTCAAAAGTTGTTTACAATGTTACATCAACCGTATTCAATTGTTAAACTCATATAACTTTGTTATGTGTAACGTAACCGTTTTTATATGTGTCTAATCAGCTTTTAGAAAATATTGACATTGAAGAAAAATACTATAACATTAAAATTGAGCCGAGCCATGACAAAGCCAACATACTGCTTTTGCGACCAAAATGGATCCAGACCAGCCTGCGCATCCGCGCAGTCGTATCAAGATCCATGCTGTTCGCGTACAAGCCCTATAATAAGTATAGTCTCTAAAAGCGAACAGCATGGATCCTGATCCGACTGCGCTGATGCGCATGCTGGTCTGGATCCATGCTGGTTGCAAACGCACTATGTTGGTCTTATCATTGCGCGGCTAAAATGAAAATTACGATATGTAAGACAACTTCTTCTGTTTTAGAAAAGAAGTCAGTATGTAATGTTTCTTTTGATTATATTTCCAAAATGAGCCATGTGAACTGATTTTACAAGTCAGTCATAAATCTCACGTTAATGACATTAATAGCTTGTCTACTTATGTTTTAGAGGTAATAACGATATAATATGAGATAAAGTATAATTATAACTATTGTTTTCTTTATCGTAGTTTCCGTTTGTTGTATTAAAATATACAAGCTTTGCTTAAGCACTAGCAGTCATGAGGAAACAATATGTTAAAGATTTGTGCATTTGAAGGTTTCCCTGACTGTTTTCCATTCAAAGACAGACTACGGTATTTCAATATTGCATGCACATTACCATTGTCAATATAACAGATATAATATAAACGTGTTCAAATTATTTTAATTTTGAACAACAAGGAAAGTTAAATAGGAAACCGCAACAACGTTATATCAAAAGTTATAATTTATTTTTTTATAAGCTGGTGTATATGACTAATAAATGTTAAAATTCCAAACTGATTTTTTCTCGTTTTGTCTTTTTATATCTGTTTTAGAAATTAAAGGTTAATAATAGAAGAGGTTAATGTATAATAGCAAAATATGAAATAAGTGTCATGGCGTGACGAAATTTTTTGTGGTAACAGAAATCACCATAGCGACTCATCATTAGCGTATCATTGAATTTAAATGTGTCTTATATTTAGATATCTTATATTTGATCTGGTTGTTCGAGATCATAGGATCCAACACTTATAAATGTGGAAAATTTAGTACAATTTAAGCTTGGGTACGTGAGGGATATTGCGCTTTTTCGTATTTCCTTATGTACAGACTCAATGAAACTGGGTCTGAAATGTTCATGAAATTTTGCTGGTTTTAATGTTTTCCAGTGAATCACTCTTGTCCAAATATTTAGTTATACATCAAAGGATTTCTTTGTATGATCATAATGAAATATGCGTCGGAAAATGTTTACAATAAGCAATGCTATTGTTCTTAACAATCAATTAAGATGCATTGTTTTATAATTGTGATATGTGCATAATATAAATACATAATATTCACGTTGGATATATGGCACCCGGTTCATTGAACATGTATATGTCACCAGGAAGTTAAAGAATTTGTAATGTTATCAATATGTGAAGCGTTTTAATACTTATTAACAAAACAATGCCTACTTTATTTTTTTCTTATTTAACAAATAAGTCGTTTAAAACAAATTGTTCCAGAATGTGAAGCACTGTATGATTCTATGAAATGTATGAAATTCAATATGTTTAGTGAGTGAAAAGTGCTGTTTTAAATGAAAAAAGAACCATTCCGCCATGAAGTCTGTTTTTCCACAAGTCATGTAAGTTCTCCACTTTACTGTTAATTGAATTTTGATGATAATTTTAATGATAGTTCATTAAATATGAAATAGTTTGTCTGTTAGATAAAAAACAACAGTAAAAAACAAAACAAAAAAGAACGTTTACGTAATTAAATTAAATGCATAACGTATAGATAAATGTATAAATGGATGCAACGCATTTAACACCGAAATAACCTTTTTATGTATCACCTGATATCAAGGAAAGCTATATCAACATCTCGTAAGACTGTGTCAATATTAAATGGATCAAATGTAAATATAACGATGTCACAACAAATGATGTAGTTTGTTTGATTTGTTTGTTTTATTGGAGTTACGTCTCACATACACAGTATAGGTCATATGGCCACGTTCCAGCTTTTACTGGTGGAGCAAGACCATTCCGAACACTATGTAAGGTGCGAGCGGGCACCTGAGTAGAACCACCGACGTTTCGTAAGCTGGTTGGATAGCTTTGTCAAAAGAATGATTTCAAAGTCCCTGTCGAAGTTAGAACCAACAGCGGTGAGGGGCAAGTGGATTGAACTCCTTAACGACCTTAACCACTCGGCCATAAACGCCCCTTCTAATGTTGTAGTTGAAAGGTAGACACCAGGTACACAACTGGTATACAAGTATAAATTATAGTTGATCATTAATCATGTTAATTAAAACCATTTCTATATTGATAAATGACTTATGGAAAGGTCAGTTTATAGATTCCGTTTATCCGATTGTAGGTGGACAGATTTTCACAGATAATCCAGACAAGATGGCTGAAAAACATCCGTATTGAACACATATAATGTGTACAATTATAATATTACGATATATTGTATAGAAACACAAGATATTCACTGGCGAAAAAGAGTATTACAAAGGTCCAAGGTTCAAGTCCCGGCCAGGTCGCATACTTTTTCTAACCCGGTAACATTTGGCGTCCATGTTGACTGAATATAGCTCAAAGTTTAATTTACTTTGCTCTGTAACTCTTAAAAATTAAAAAAAAAAAACAAATTTAAATTAAGCGGAAAGTATATCACGGTTCAAAACTGTTCACTGTTTAGGAGAAAAATGTGTCAGTGGCCGAATAGCTCAATAGGTATAGAAGCGGTACTATCTTCCAAGGTTTGAACAAACGAGCACATCAATCCTTTAATAGCAGTAGGACATATAAACCACTCGAGAACACAGCGACTTTAATTTTGTTAATTTATCTTTTTTAAGTTATTTTGTAAAATAATTGTCTTTTTTTTTCATTGATGTAGATATACTAGGAGCATAATTTTCTTCCCTATCACCTCAACCTCTATTTCAATCTTTCGCAAAGTAAATTCTTTCAAAATCTGTTTTTTGTTCATTACAATGGCAAACGAGGTTTCAATCAGATCCCCTTTAGATCATTTTACTTCCCATTACGGGTGTTTTACATGAACAATGATTGGAATGATGATAAACATTGTAAACATTTTATTGCTTCTTTAATCTTTTATCTTTAAAACATTCTATACGGAAACAAGGAAGATTTTACTATTTGTAGTATCCATTTTCGGATGATATGATCATCAAAACAAACGACAAAAAATGCACTTGATGCCTTTTTGAACTTACAATATTTAAAAAATATATTTTTTTTGCAAAACCAAAATGCTACGTCATTAAAGGAGTCCTTGCTTAGTATATGGTAAGGAAAAATATATAAATTAACAACAAGAAGCTTCTATTTTAAAATACAAACCATTTTCTGCATTTTACCTAAATGTTTTGTTTGCATTAAGTACTTTCAACTTATTATTGATTAAGCTTTTGCGTAAATTTCGATATTTATGATTTCTTAAAATATATTAGTTACTTAAGTAAAGAAATCGATACATATTCGATTTTAAATAAAAGCAGACCAATGTTATAAACTATGTTTCAAATCTTATCTTTTTATTAGAATATATGGTTTAATTTGTGTAAAAAAGTATATTATGTGTATATTTTGGAAAAAATGTGTTTCATTTAACACTCTCTTTTTAGATATAGTTTTACTATTAAAAAATGTACTTTAAATATCAGCTATTGGGGTCATGAAACACATTTCTTTATAATTTAAAGTCATATAATGCACTCTAGTCATATATAAATTTTTTTATAAAATTACTATTTGTAAGCAACTTGCTTTAAAATACACTTTGGAGTGGTCGTAGCAAATGATTACAATGTTAAGAAAAAAGGTTAAGCAAATAAAATGTTGCTCGTTACCTGAAATAATGAGTTATCTTACCTGAATGATTCGACATTTCATCATTTTTATTTAGAAAATTCGATAAAAGTTTGACTTTATGTATTGTATATTGTTAAATAAAGATATTCTACTTTTACATATGTTTTAGAACGTAAATGTATATGTATTTAAAGGTTATTAAGAATAATAAACACACCCGCAATTATTTGTTGTCATCACTCACCATTGTATGAACATGGATCAACATTGATTTGGCAGAAATGGAATGTACTATATGCTGCCACAAACTGAAACCTGTCTAGTGTTTGGTTTTACTTTATTTTATCTATAAATATAAATGCAAAAAATAATCAAAACAGTTAAGAAAAAGTTAATATTTGCATTTTTGCAAGGCATAAATATATATCGAGGCCGTGCGATTGCAAAAAATAAATTTTATTTTTTTATTCGTCTTTTTGGCTAACAACGTACATGTTCAAATACTTTGAATTATTTCATAACCAAGGAACATGGATAATATAATTATGTTGATATTGCATTTGTCCAAAAATAAAGGTATCATATTTGTGTGTAAAAGACGACCACAACAATTATAATATTTGTCTTTCCTTATTAGATTTTTAAGAGATACAGGTATCAAAGTGTCATTCATTTTGTTGGATTGCACGATGCAGTCTGCAATTTATTAAGATCAATAAATTCTTTATATAAAAACAGCAACAACACTATTCTTACAAGGTTCAGTTGGATTTTTAAAAAATGATGTCTGGAAAATTTATCTGTTCATGTAAGTTTCTATAAATAACTGTTTGAAACAAATATCTCTTCTGATTTGATTATTATTATACTGAATCACTAAAAACTTTGAAAAAATATATATATTACCTGTGACATTAGTTGAATTAAAATATTTATATTATATTATGTTAAATGTAATATTTTTATTTATAAGACTTGAACATAATATGTTGATAGTTTATTCCATAAATAATAAAACGACAATCACTCTCATAAAAAATTCTTCTGACTAATTGTAGGTTTCCTTCTGTTCCTACTCCAAGCAACACGAAGCACAGGTTTGTACATTTCCCTTTCCCTTTATAAAGTTTATAGAGGTACAAAGAATCTACTTCAATTAATAAAAACAACCATTTTTATAATTAAAGATATACCATGCATATTCTGGAGAAAGATATTATAATCAAAGATTTTATTTTTTGAAATCTATGACATTCTAACTTTCTATGTCTTATTTGAATAAAATAATGAAAAAGCTATGTATTTGAAGCTGTGTTCCCTATTATACAGGTCAAGTAAAGTTGTTTGAGTTTTCATGACACTATACTTATATTTATGTAGTATGTGTAATTTTAAACGTAACATATATACTTTGTTTGAATTGAAAACAAGTTATTTTATATTTACAAAGATACTGTGTAGCAATTAACAAATTGAATATCATCTTTTATCAAATTTGATTATAGTATAAAACAAATTCTTTAAGTTTCCATTATGACAGAGATAAAATTACATTAATTGCATTCAATTTTGCAGTCGGATATTGCCAGTGTAATTAGGTTTCATCGTAAAGATTAATGAAAGTCTAATTGTCATATTCATTCAAGTTTGTATCGTTCATGTGTCTAATTACTCACAAGATCTCAATAATTATGATTTTGTAAACATTAAGACAATGTAAGAGTAGGTTAAGAAATTGAAGTGAATACAAAAAATAATTTAACTGAGGCTACAGAACTTGATATAAATCATTATAGTTTAAATTCTAACATTATATTTATATATTAATTCTCTGAAAATGCTCATTGTCAAATAGTCTATTTTCTTAGTATTCGATGATTAAATCTTAAATGAATTATTTGATAGAAAAAATATTCTATTATTTATCAAGAAAATTTATAATTTCAGCTTCATTGATATGCAATAAATGTAACAGCAGTGCAGGTTTAGAAAAATGCCATGACGTTATTCAATGTGGGGACAAACAAGTATGGTTATAGTTTATACATTATTTATGTAAAAGAAAGAATAAAGAATAGATAATTCTAGAATAACTTTCATAATTTATAAATCTTATTGGTAATTGCGAATCGCTTTTATATTTTATAGAGAAAAGAAAAAGTTAAGATTAAAGTCTTTTGTAGATTGTAGTTTTTGTTGTTTTAATATACAAAATAGTTAGTTAAATATAATTTAATATATACCTATTTGAACTTTTGGTTTTGATAAATAAGTGATATTTGTTAGATAAAATGAGCATTTATCAACGTTATTTGTCGACATTGTTTGGACTTAAACAATTTTCAGTCATGCTTTACTGAAATCCAAACTGAGAATGAACACACTACATACACAATGGGATGTACTGATAACCAGGTAACAATTGTTTGTGTTTTGATTTTTGAAAAAAGCATAATAACAATAATTGTTTTATGTGCAAAATGTGCAATTATTTGTTTAAATGTTGTGCAAAAATGCAATCACATATTGTTACATGTATTTATATTACATTTGATCATTTCTTTCTTGCAACGATTTATATTAACTGCGACAACCATTAAAACTCAATTGAAGCTTGTATGGAGAAATAAGAAACAACCATGTTATGAGATTGATATTTGGGCTTAATTAAGCCATAAGTATAATAAGAACATGAATGTATTAATTTTTTGACATATCTGGCAGGTAAAAACCGCCAGCACCAAGTAACAACTAGAAAGAACATGATAAATCAATATTAACAATCAGTATATGACTAGAAAAGAAATAAGCATGACGTTACAAAACTGTTAATTTGCACGACTGCAATGCTAATTTATAATTGTGGTGGGAGGCTGGAAAAGCAAATGCGAGTTTTCTTCGTTCACTGAGGAACGCGAAGTGACGTAGGCTAATTATAAATGCACCGTTTATTTGTCGGTAACGAAACTTCGGTATGCGGGCCTCTATCTGCAGTGTTTAATATATAATATATATGCGGATTTACAGAAAACTAAAGTGAATGATATTAAGAATTATGTTGTCTTGCATATAAATAATTTCATGACACATAAAATACGTTTTTTGACTTTAATCAATATACAGCTAAGATAATTACAAAAATTATATGCCCGTACATTTTGAAAAAAATTATATTTCATGGACAAAGACTCATCGGATATTACAATTTATCATCTGGTTATTCATATTAAACATTGCATTGATAAGTCTCTATCCTAGTTTTAAGACATATTATAATATATTGTAGAATTGCGGAGACATTCCAGAATATGATGCAGTCACTAAGCTTAATGCACTCCCTGTAGAGAAATGTTACGAATGCTGTGATCGCAAAGGATGCAACTATCACCTTTGTAAACATCCGAAACGTATGTAGCTTAAAGAGTTAGTTGAGAGAATATCAATGTTACGATTTCATATTTTTGAAAATACCACAATGCCTTTGCATGCAAATTCTACCATTTGAAATAGAACGAGCTGTATTATGGAGTCTAAAGGCTACAAAGTATTATTTACTTAGCTATAAATTGGCGACAATCGTTTATGCATGTATTTGTGCATACGCACTATGGTTAATTTGGAAAAGTGTTGAAAAACATCTGTGCCCCTGAACGAAAAATCAATAGGCGGGTCTAAAGTGGATGAAAATGACAAAAGGTAATTTTACTCTTTGAAGATCGTGTAATATAGATACTTCATTCTTACATTTTCATTTTGAACAAGCTTTGATGTTTTTCTTTCTAGCATCGCAGTGCAAAGATGACAAAAGAGTTGATTGTGCGAAAATGAACGAAATGTTTGATATCTGTAAAGACATACATGATGCCAAATTAGTTTGTCCTAACTTCTGTAACTTATGTCGACTAGGTAACACCATTTGGTTTTGCTGAACTTCTTCAAAGTTTCAAAGTTTATTTAAGATATTTAAGATAAACAATATTTAGTTAAAACATATCTTTTTTTTAATATTTCATCATATATATCTTATATGTAGATAATTATTACATATTATAAAGAATAAAAGAACGTATAGTAAAATTATATATTTAATCCATTTTAGGTATAATTATAAACCAAGGTACCTCAACATAAAATTATTACGTCTTCTATGTGTCAATCGTTATTTTCAAATATACGGTTTACTTAAACTATGAAATTACATCCTTGAACAGTTGATGGTAGCTGGGCTGATTGGTCACAATGGTCAGCATGTGACGTCACGTGTGGTAATGGTAATCATACTAGAACCAGAACATGCACAAATCCAGCGCCAAGTTATCAGGGTTTAGAATGTGAAGGAAAAAATATGGATTTTAAGCCTTGTCAACGACCACTATGTCCAGGTACTTTAACTTTTCCGTGTCAAAGTTGAACAATAATATGATCATAAAGATATTAAATTACATGGTCTTATCTTCGTTCTACTTGAATCGATTTGTTCCTTCCGCAATATTCGCAGCTGCTTTCACTTCTTTATTTCACAGTCCATGGCGGATGGTCAAGTTGGTCTGACTGGAGTGCTTGCCCGGTAACATGTGGGCTTGGCCAACAAAAACGTCACAGAAATTGTTCCAGCCCATACCCTTTACGTTATGGTGATCATTGCTTTGGGGATCCAGTTGATTTCAAAATTTGTATTGAAAAGTCGTGTGATGGTAATTTTCTTCTACTTATTTCCTTAACAGAATCACAAATTGTTCTTCTTCTGTAGTTTAATGAAAATGCATACTATAAATAGTTTAAATATATAAGACATCTAGTTACTATTCATTTATTTGTCTAATTGTTTTTCTCTTCATCAGTATTTAGCATAGTATATAAAAGCATCCGTATTTGTTTAATAAACGCTTTTTAATCCAATTCCGCAACCGGGAAGGTGATTGAAGGATTGACCTCCTTCTGTCAAACCGTTCGTCCGTCTATCTGTCCGTCCGTCCGCTCCTTAACTTTTAAACTACCGAAACAGACTTTATGATTAGCAAATGTGCTTATGATATGCATGGTAAAACATTAAGGTCATGATTGGTTAAAGGTCAAGCAATACACATTAATGTCCGCTGAGAATGGGGATTTAGATGCCCTTCAGACTGCCTTGTATATATCATATTGATAAATGTATCAGAAAATTAAATTCAAATACATGTTACCATGAAATTTCAAAACAAATTTGGTGCCTAACACGCAATATGATTAGATTTATTTATTATATATGAATACAATTCCTAGATGGCATTTGGGGAAATTGGAAGGAATGGGGATCATGTAGTACCTCATGCGATAGCGGTATACGCCAAAGGTCAAGATCATGTGTAAATCTGGTTGGAACGATATGTAACGGGAACTCTTTAGAAGTTCAGCTATGCAATAGACAGGATTGTCGTATGTAATATATCTCATATCATTACCTGCATAATTTAATAATCCTATTAGAAGTTCAATATTTACTATTGTTATGGCACCCCGTATTTTGATGTCTCCGGTAGCAACCAGAATCAAAAGTAAGCACATCAATAGTGTACATTCATTTTTAAACTCAACATGTATTGTAATCTTGTTTGTTTTCAAATTACATTATTACTATACCAGTTAAGGGTTTTTATAAATTTGGTCTTTAAGACGAAGTAATTGAGAATCTCTGAGAATTTTTTTTTCAATCTGATATATAAGTTATAATGTAAGGATAAACATATTTCTGTATTCAATTTGTTCAGATGTAACTGTTAAGAGAAAATTTTTCTACATAATGGTGATTAGATATTGCGTTTGGTGATTTAAATGTAATGTTGGTTACATATCTATATTGAAGCTTGCAATACTATGCCAACGCTTCGCAATGGTGTTTTGAAACGGCAATCTGAATCCCCGTCAAAGATAACGTTTAACATTGTATGCAACGATGGATACCAGGTAGCAGGTCAAAATCATACCACATGTGACAAGAAATCGGGGTGGAGCAAGTTGCCAATTTGTAAATTAACGTGTGGAGAACCAGCCGTTCCATCAAACGGACGACTTGTCTTTACAAGTGGAATCGTATTCGAATCAATTGCAAAGTTTGAGTGTTTAAGTGGTTTTATTAGCTTTGGAAATCCTGTATCAACATGTGAAGGTAATGGAAAATGGTCCACCTCTTTATCATGTGCTTCTGTTGGTAAGTAGTATGTTTAATATATAAGGTAAGATTTTTTATTATAAATACGATTTTCCCGAAAAACTAGTTTGCATTTCAATAAAATCATCAGTGTTCAACATTGAATATACCATACATAACATCAGATTTTCAAATTGATAACACTCGACCTCTTATTTTCCATGTGCTCTGAAAACTATCGAAAATTGCTGTCACATGTTTAAAACGGTTTTTAGGTCATCTGAGCCCACAAAGTTTAAGGTGAGTTTTTTATTAAAAATTTGTCAGGGGTTCATCGTACGAACATCGCACGTTTCCTTTAAAAAAGCATGTTGAATTCAACGAATTATTCCTTGGATGTTCTAAGCATGAACCTTTAAAAAATAGTTTCTTATGATTCTGCTGCATTTAACATTTGGGTCAGACGGGCAATAAACATTTCTTTGAAAGATCAATGCTTAGATTAAGAAATGTTGTGTGTAGCATGACCCCATACGACTCTACAAACTGTGTTCAATCTAAAGCGTTGGTATCAAAACTGTACCCACTCCGTTGGCCACGGCTTTTCCTGATAAACACAATACTTTAAAACTGCGAGGACTTGTTCTTATGTATTTTTAAAAAATATTATAAAATGAGCTTCTACAAAAAAACTGTTCATATAATAGTCCTTGGGTCAATGTTGGCCCCGAGCCCGGAGTTTTCCATATATCTTTATAGTATTAATTTAGAAATGCTTCTTTTCTAAAACTATTTAGGCCAAAGCTTAGATATTTGGCATGAAACATGGTCTTGTCGACCTTCACATGGTTTGTTTAAATGATATCCCAGCCTGAGAGTGGCCATTGATGTACATTTATATGATAAAAACCTTTTTCTTTACAACCATTAAAACAAAATCTTAATATATATTTGGCATGAAACATTGTCTTGTAAATATCTGCAAAAAATGTTCAAATATAGCCCTGGGGGTCTAAATCTGTTCCGCTCTGCGGCTCCTGGATTTTCCTTATAAACAGAAAGTTTACAACTATAGAACAACTTCTAAACTTAAAAAACTGAGGCAACCGCTTACGTATTTGGCATGAAACAATGTGTAGAGGATCTCTACTAAGTTTGTTCAAATGATAGCCTTTTGGTCTAAATTAGCCCCGCCCCGGGAAGGTGGTCATAAAGTTTCCTAACAATTATGTATCTTATAAATACTTACTAAAGCTAGAGTAAAGATATTTGACAAAGAACATTATATTCTTCACCTCTTCTGTGCTTGATAAAATCATGGCCCTGAGGCTAAATTGGCTGACCCATTAAGGGAAGTGTCTAGGATTGTCCTAATATGTATATCTACCAGTGACTTCAATTACAACAATTGATTCCCTTAAGCAATAATTAAATTTTATAGCAATCATTTTCTTTCCGTCGCAACAAGTGCCTTCAATAATATCTCGTCCATACCAACATGTGACTTCCATGGCGACGACTGACACTTCATAACTACCAGTGACAACAAAAGCAGCAATTGACTTTTCATAGCAACTATATACTTCAATTGCAAACAATGACTTTCCATAGAAACAAATGAGTTGTTATTCAGTATCCCTCATGTACAGACTCAATCAAACCGAGTCTGCAATTCTTATGTTATTTTGTTGTGATAAATGCTTCCGAGGGATCACTTTGTTTCCAGAATTTTGTACTTCACAACAGCAGGTGTCAAGTGCCGTGTGGCAGCCGTAAAAAGTTGCCCCGTACTTCACTTCAGTGTTGTTATATTTTCTGGTCCTTCGGGATCATTGATTCCAACACTATAAAGTGTTGAGAATTGAGTACCGCTCAAGCCGGTGCTAGGGGGCGTGGGGGATGTTGCACTTATTCATTATCCCTCATGTACAGACTCAATCAAACCGAGTCTGAAATTCTTATGTTATTTTGTTGTGATTAATGCTTCCGAGGGATCACTTTGTTTCCAGATTTTTTTTCCATATAAACCAATAAATTCGATAACAACAATTGACGTTCCGTAGTATTAATTGACATTCCACAGCAATAATTGACTTCGATAGAAATCACTGATATTTAATAGTAATCATGATTGCTTTCCGTAGCAAACAGTGGCTTAAATAGCAACCATTGACTTTATATATCGACCAGTTACTTTCATAGCATACATTGGTTTTCCACTGATTGACAATTCATAGTCTAGTCTAGTCAAGTGAGTAATTAAAAGTCTATTATGGCCCTCTTTTTACGTTTACATGACATCAAACCTTTGACATATATTTTGTTGCTTTCAGTTAAAACGTGTTCAGCAAGGTTGACCTACAACGCAAGTTACACAAATGTTGCTCTCAGAAAAACTGTCGAACTGTCGTCAACATATTCAGCTGCTTGTATAGGAGCAAAAATGGTAATTCAGGAATCAATCATAATTTAAGTACGAAATAAATATAACCAAATAAAGACAATGTTTCATACACAATAGTAAGAAAAGAATATTTAAAAGAGTGTAAAAATGCTTCATGCCAAATAATGGGCAAAAATAAAATTGGATTACATAACATATCTCAGCATCTCAGGTAAAAGGTAGGCAACAAGTATGAGGGTTTGTCTGTGCTAAAAACAGCTTCCCCTTGATTAGGGCTAATATTCATAAAATGTGGAAAAGAATATTGCGAATTGAACAAAGAAAGTGAGTTACACATTGCAAGCGGCACTTATAACCCACAGAAAAAAATATGCAAAATAAACCCAGTCTGCTTTAGTTAAAAATATGCTGATATACTGCAAAATCAGTCGTTAATCGCACATAGCATGTTAATCATTACTTTAATCGTTTACCTTTTTAAAAATCTTCGTACAAGTTACTCAATATTTAGTTTGATGTTCTTGAATTATTTGGACTTATCTAGACGCATGCAGCTTTAATGTATTTGCATTCAACTGTGGAAATACATATTGGAAATATAAATTTCTGACGGAGCGAAGTAATAATGAAATCGGTGTCGTATTGCAAAATGACGTCATGATTGTGTAAAACTCTCTGCCAAAACATATAGGCTGTAAATTCATATTATTATTAACATCTGCTTTGAAAAAAAAACCTGAAAAAAAATTTTTTTGGGGTTTTGTTGTTGATGTTTGTTTTATTTTTTTTTTATTATTTATCTCTTTTTTACATTTTTATTCCATTGTTCTAGGTTGATGGTTATTTTAATAATGTGGCAATAACACAGAAACAGTATCGTCCATTTGCAATAGTTGATCTAGAAGACATATATTCGATTTTTTCTATTTATATTGTCAATAGAAAGGACTGTTGTGGTAGGTTTATTTTCTATAGTTTGATCAGTACATTGTTGTGTAGTTTATTCAAATATTTTCGAGATAAGAAATTTAAAAAAGAAAGAAAAACAGCATGCTAGTATGAATACTTTAAAGGTCATACATACACATTTTATATTTTTCACTTGTGTAATATTCAATGCATATGATTATAGCACTACAATATAGTAAGAATGAGTAACTTATACTTGTGATCAATTTAAATCGTTTAACTGTAATGTGTTGTCACAAATTTTGACAATTATATGCCCGATTCATTTATCTGACAACTTTGTTCTACCTTTATTTAAGCAACTGGACTTAAAAACGTTGTAATCCAAATCGGGGTCGAGGCCAACAAGCTAGTAACTGTTGCCCGTCATCAGACAGCAATAGGTGCGGAGTGCACGCTTCGTTTTGAGAATCCACTAAGAGGCCGTTACGTAAAGATTATGCTTGAAATCACAGAATATTTACAAATCACAGAATTCCAAGTATTCAGCCAAACAAGAACCTAATTTGATATGGAATTAAAATTTGCGGATATCATAAAGTAACTGAGTGTTTTGAGGAAATATATTTACTTTCTTGGATTTTTGACTTTATTTCTTTACAATAATTGGAAATCATTGTTTATTAAGCTTCAGCCATTATTCACACACACACGCACGCACGCACGCACAACCGTAAACTTAGTATGAACGCATTGTGTCATTAAAAATTTTACAATTTCTTTTAAGGACCAATTAACTTGACCAATCATAGGATATACAGCTTCCCGAGTTCTGTCATTCAAACTAGTAAAAATTTCCTTGATTTCAATATATTGCTGTAATAAAAGTATTTTACTCAAATTTGAGTATTTCATAAGATCGTTTCATCATCTTTTAAATGATGCACTTAATCATTTTTTTCTTCTTAAACCATGTTTAACGTGTACTGTTTACCTAAGGTTTCTAAGGTTTCTTTTCATTGATATTAGATGTTAAACAAAATAGGCACTTGTTTCCAGTTTATTGGAAGTTTAATTTATTATTGCATGTTGTTAAAGCACTAACATAAATCAATATCGGTTCTAAGTTTTTGTAGAATAAAATACTATTGACATCTCTTTTTCATTTTAAAGAGAGAAAATATGATAGAATCTACTTGTAAAAACATAAATGCAATTTGTATAAACAATGTGTTGCAAATTTATCACTGCATGCACGTACTTTTTTATTGCTTTTAATACCACAAGAGCTCATTAATTCATTATTAAACATTCTACTGAAAACTATAAATTATGTACAGAAAATATAATTCAATATTTAACAGTTCAATGTGTTTAAACCATCTGGGCTTATTTTTGTTTGTTAAAAGTGTGCTTTAATCAAGATTTAATTTAGTCTTTGTTTAATGAGGTTCATCTGCCCGTTAAGTCGCAAATAGCAGCTTCCGCTTAACAAGACGCCGGTTATACCTTTAAGAAGGTTAATTTTGACGCGCAAAGTGGTGATGATGCCCCTCCATGCAATCTCCACTAAAACTTTGCTTATGATATGACTTCTGAGCTGAAAGTTAGGCACCGTACGGCGGTCAATGAGAACCTAAATGTTCAATAACCTTTGACATTTTGAAGGGGGTAGCCTTGATAACAGCTTGTTGCCCAGAAAAAGGCCTGTCTTTCAATCTGTCACTTTTGTGTTAGGGGGCAATGCACCTTGCACCATTCCTCAACGTCCCAGGAATTTTCAAGGGCCAAACCCCTCGGGTTCAGTCAGAACATAGACAGCTGGTAGCAGGACTTTATCTATTTTAGCCGTCCTAAGTTTTTCAAATCTCCTGCCGATCCATTGGGCCTTCTCAACGAAGGGGAAGAGGGAAATCTTTAAATATTAGTAATAAAATCTGTACTAAATAATATTAGATGTATTTTAAGTGTCATATTATATGTTACACCATATGTTTGTTATTGCTAGAAAAAAAATCAACTTTTAAACGTTGCTATTGGCTCAATTGAAAACAACCCATTTCTGTACCGATTATATTGACATTCGTTTAATGATCATATACTAGTAGTATGAATGACAATGTTTATTAAACAACATAATCTTGCATATAATTAATATTAACCTTTTTTAATAAAACGTAATACTTTGATGTGTTGTTTTTCTGACAATATTTTATTACATGGATATGCGTCATGAAATCACCATTATATTATCAAAAAGCATGTTAGATCTTTGTGGTACATAGATGTAAATGTTCATGTAATTTTTTTTATATATCAGAATGAATAAAAGTCGCGATGTCACCATGTCGCTCGACTTATATATACATACATATTGCCCATCCTTCGATTTGAGCCGAGCGATAGTGTGACATCGCAACAACACGCCGCACAACAACGTGCCGTTTGGCGTGCATCGTTTGCGACATTTTGCGATAAGACGACAAGACGAAAGTGCAACAACGCGCCGTTTGGCGCTTTGTCGTGCTGTCGCAAGCGACAACACGACGCACAAAAGTGTTCCAAATCAGCCACTATATAATCAAGATCAAAGACACTATTTTTGCACATTAAACATTTTACATCTAAGAAATCATTATAAAGAACATTGATTTTTCTCTTGTAAAATAGCCATTGAGTGATCAAGAAGTTATTGAGAATAGCACATCTTATACTTTAACATACATGTATACAGTGTCATCCATAAATACCTTTACACATTTTGTTATTGACTTAATGGACACTTTACAAAGATTTCATACATTTCTAAGATAAATTTTATTCTTTATAAAGAACTATTATTTAAGGTCAAATAAAGAATTAACAGGAAATTTCACATTTTCATGTATTAACGGAAATCCACAATATTTCAAAATTGTTTACATAGGTTAACCTTTATTGAATTATAAATGTATGCACCTTAAGCATGAATAAAAGATAAGCATGTCCTAAATAAGCATTTGACAAAGTTAAAAATTAATATTTGTGCAAGGTTATAGTTATTTGTTTCAAGATCTTGCAGGTTGTCAGGTGTACGTCGCTCTTAATGGTGACTATATTGATCTCGTGACACAGTGCACCATCATCCTGGTGTTATTATTTGTTAATTTGTTCCAACAAATGTGCTTAAGGAACAGTTATGTCCCTCAAATTGCCAATGAAAACCATGCCATGCAGTCTTCCGATGATTTCTGCAATGTACTAGTTGCCCTGTACAACACTACATCAACACATCATCAAATTACCATCATCGAACTTTACTGTGTGCACGTGACTGTAATGCTAGCAAATAATCTGACAAAGTCTTCATTGGACCTTCTACAACAACTGTGTTAAAATGATTAAATTTTGTTTTGTTGTCAATAGTAATGATGTTACACAGTATCACATGACCTATACAATAGGAAAATTTAAGGAAAATAATGCAGTGTATGTGTAATGTCACATTCAGTTGCCAGACCCCAACCTATGCAAAATGTAGGGTATGCCAATAAACGCAAGTTGAAAAACACCACTCTTGGTGACCGCAATACCTTACAATGGACATTTGTGTTTTTGAAATAGATATATTTGTTGGAAAAGGTCAGAGGCAAAACATGATTAATCGAATGAAAATACAATCTGTTGGATATTAGATAAAATTTGCATCTGAATGCATAATTTTAAACTAATTTCAGTTTCCTTTTAAAGTGTAAATATGTTTAAATTGATGTTATTTCCTGATTTTCAGTAAATTTCATTTGTATTTATTATATATTTTAGTAACAATTTTGTGACAAAACGTGTATCTCACTAATTTACAACCATATTCATTAGTGCATTACATAATTCATAATTAACATACAAATAGTGTACAATGCAGTTAGCTGAGATTCACCTGTTGCTGTTCAATTGTTTGAAGTATTTCACATAACTCAGTCTAATTAGAACAATAATTTATAATATATTCATGCTGTAGTGATAGATGTATATATGTAATCAAAGTATGGTATGGTGAAATCATATAATTATAGCTTTTGAAAAAAAAATCAATTTATAAACTTTAAAACAAGCATATAAAATATTTGGACAGTCAAACTATCGATGTATATTCATTGAACGTGACAGATATATTTAAAAAAGGAACAGTTATGATAACTGTGTCATTTTGTGTTTTTTAATACAAGTCAGTCATTTATTTAGCAAACACTTCCAATTCAGCGGTATTTAAACTCTCTATTGCTTCTAGCATTATTTTCACGTAACGACCTCTAACTGGTTTCTCGAAACTAAAAGTGCACTGAGAACCTATGGAGCTGCTATGACGAGCAACAGTAAGTAAACTTGAAGACTCAACCCCGATTTGAATGACGACGTCATGAAATCTGTGTGCTGAAATAACATGAAGATATAAAGGCATTACTTTCACATGCCTATAATGACAGGGTGTCAATTCGCAAATATCTTTAAAAATCAAAACAGTTTGTTGAGCTTAAATACATACATTATAATGCATTTTTGCGGATTTGAGAATACAGAACGATCAGATGAACAACAAGAAATTGTGTATACATTATTACTTGTATATTCTAATTTTGGGCTTTATCATAACAATGAAAGAATACATTCTTAATGAAAGTGCTGTTCAACATACCATAGCCAATACGACAGACCATATGAATATAAAATATTCTGTAAATGCTTCCAAGGTCAACCAAAGCAGATGGATATCGTTCAGAGTTTGAATGTGCGTAGTTGTTATAGTTACCGTCTCCCTTAAAGACAGAATCCATCTATTAATAACAATTCTAAAATCTTACATGTAAGTAAACTTTCCGAAGCAATTTCATTAATTTTATTAAGACTCTAGCTGATACAAGGACGTCACCACTCATCTGTTATTTTATTTTATATATTGCACACATTAATCAAGCCAACATTTTTCAAAAAACTTTATTTATTTTTAGTATCTTGTTACAAATCTAAAACGTTACTCACTGTCCATATAGCTGAATATTCTTTTAATATGTTGGCAAAAGGTATAAGTATATCGTGGTTTAGTATTTTGTATGGAAGCCAGACTACTTTGTTAACATTCATACCTTCATATTGCATTACCGCACGTTCATCACTACTTTATGCTGTGATTAACTTCTGACAAACATACTCACCAATCCATTAATAAAACATAATTAAAAACATGTTTGACTTTGTAAGAATTTGAAAAAAAAGATAATTCTGAGGCTTATTGTACTGTTAGATCTAAATGAATAACACGCCAGAACACTATATAACACATTTCCTTATGACAATATCATAACTTATCTTACCATATATTTGGCATGATACCAGGCAAGGACCGAAGATAGTCTTACACTCTTTTTCAACGCAACATTTGTGAAATCTGAAGCAATGTTTGCCGGCTTGAAAGTGCAAGTTTTAACTAACAACAACAAAATTAGATAAGATAAAACCGTTATAAAATAGGCACATGAAGACAAAATCTGTATAAAGATATACACTTTAAATAGCTTTAAGAGAAAGATTGTTCAACTGTTTATATGTCAGCCTTTCAACCGAAAAATCTTGGGTTCGAACCCTAGATGAGGGACATCCATTCCCTTTACGTCACGCAAGTACTAGTTATTTCCTAGGAAATAAACTTCAAGTTTTCATAAAAATCTAGTTATTAAATATGTTTAAACTTAAGGAAAATCTTACTGATTTTATCGTAATGTGACAACTAATAAATAAAAGAAATTCATGACCATATTTCAAACATTGTGTAGCAGTGGAATAAGGTCGTTGACTTCAAATCACTTGCCCCTCACCGCTGCGGGTTCGAATCCCGACAGGGACTTTGGATTCTTGCCCATGTGAGGAAGCTATCCAGCTAGCTTACGGAACGTCGCTGGTTCTACTCAGGTGCCCGTTCGTGCCTGAAATAATGCACGGAAGGGCACCTGAGGTCTTCCTCCGCCCGTAAAGCTGGAACGTCGCGATATGACCTATACTGTGTCGATGTGACGTAAAACCCAAAACAAACAAACAAACAAAACAGTGGAATGATAACACAATTTCATGCCCGACATTGAGTTTCTTCCCATGGATTATCAGTCAAGTAAAATACATATTACTCTTTAGATTTCTTTCACCGTGTGTACTAAAACTTTGCTAAACTTTTTGCTTGCAATTTGATTTTATGATTATTTTACAAATCAGTTGCGTTTAAGCCTTAATTGCAATTTTTTTCCATTCACATATTATTTCTATACCTAAATAGTAACTGGAAACACTGCAACGATGTCCAACGTAGTGCAACATTTTATCGTCCGATAACCTTTATTTATTTACGTCTCTTACTAAGAGAAATATATATGGGCAATACTCTAAGCATTTGTGTATTTTCGTTTGTTTGTTGTTTTTCATTTTCGTGAAAACGAAATATATTTCTCATATAAATAAGAAAGTGCCCTTGTGATGATGGCATTTTGTGCAGAGAGAATATATCATTTTCATACAAAACATTCATACGTAATCTCATGGCATATGCAGATCAAAGTTCATTCCTTACCAAAATATTTAACAAAATCTGAAGTATCGAGTATGTAAATGAAAGCTATGTTACAATAAGTTTAGTTTTACTTTTTCATAGTGTCATATTAAGGCTATAGTATGCTTTTTATCTAGAATCACAATAATGTTCTATTTATGACGCAATTCTTGTTGTACATTTCGTGTTTTGATACTCATATACCGATTGTCAAATCTCTCTGTAAGAAGATCTGCTGCAGCTCGGAAGAGGGAAAAGAATCTTGCATCAAGATTGATCTTCAGTTAATATGTTACATAATTTTGTTTAAACATATTTGAAGCTAGTTTAAAAATATTAACTATTTCTTGGATCATATTAAACGTCAATCTTTTAAATTCTCATTGAATTAAACTTACAATTGAACTTGAAATAATACATTGTCTCGGATAACTGCAAGATATTACAAGTAATATTTATTCATTTTATAATTCACTAACTAATCTTTCATAAAACTTACAACAATCTTGTTGTTTGCACAGCTTTACTTCAAAAGATCTCCCCTTGCATGTTGTCCCAATCTTGTTTGCGCAAGACCTTGATCTTTGGTGCACGCCAATTCCACAAGACAGACTGCTACACGTTCCCCATCTCTCCCAGTTGCCCCATACTCCATCTACATATTATGTGAACTTTTGATCATATTTCCTTATAAGTTATCACCCTTATTTTATAAAGACAAGCTGTATTTAAATAATTCTTGAGACAATCTTTAATAAAGACTTACATAATTCCTCTTATGCATCGTCCATTTACAACTTTTTTGAAATTTTTTAATCTAAATCGGAAATTGATATTTTAGACAATATAAAGAATAAATAAACATGAATTTCTAAATGTAATAATACTGATAATGATCGAACACGTATGTATTTTACTTTAATGTGAACATTGCTTTTATATTAAATCATAATGTTTTAATACGTTTTACGATTTACCCAGGTCATATTTTAAAGTGTCTATATGTTCTATATCTATAAATTAAGTGTCCTTTTACCATTTTTGAAGTGAATTGGTAAGAAAACAAAAGAAATTTCTAACACTGATTTTTTTATATTAAATTAAATGTTGCATGTACCATCACACAACTTCTGACCGCAATTTCTATATTCAAGTGCATCTCCAAAACAGTGATCACCATAGCGCAAGGGATATGGGTTCGAACAATTTCTGTGACGTTTCAAAATTCCTAACCCGCCTGGACTGGACAAGCACTCCAGTAAGACCAACCTGACCATCCACCGTGGACTTGAAACGATCCAAAGTAGATTTGAAAGAAAATGATCATCTGCTGATAATATACTGTAAAACACATTTCGGTTCAACAAAACATGACTTAATGATGCTGTTTCATAAACATTAGATCTAAAAGAAAATGTAAAATTATATGGACAATCGAGATCAACAACAATGGACATTTTATTAAAGATTTGATATCAGAAAAGATTGATAATTGCTACACATTAAACATGCTTTGATTTAACATAGAGTTGATATGTCATAATATAAACTATACCTGTAAAGGTCGACCAATATGAATACATAGTTTCTTAAAAAATGGCATTTTTTTAAAAAGACCAATTTTACTTGTCTTGTAATAGAGAACGTGACTTCAAATACATAGTTTGTTCATTTTTTATTCAAATTAGACATATTTAGTAAAAAATTCATACGTTTTAATAAATTTCTTTGATTTAAATATTTTGCTCAAAAATGAGCATAGTATAATTTATCTTTAACAGAAAGTACAAGCTGTAAAAAACATTGGTATGGTAAACAATATAGATTCAAAAAGTATTCAGAACCTCTGAATCACCGTTGATGAACATTCAATTTTATATATTTCCGGTCTTAAGTGAATTGGTCTATAATAAATGGTCTTTAAAAAATAATAACGTTGATAATAACAGATAACTAAAGAATCATATATGGATGTTTTTGGCAAGTGTGAAATACATACATTTATGTAGCAGATAATAAAGTATTATTCTTTATCTCACTAAATTACTTAGAACTATTATTTATTTATTTCTTTCTAAAAAGGAATATTTCATAGGAATAATCAAATGATTTTTTATTGTTCTTATTATTTTTGAAATTCTTATGGAAATTGTACACATTATAGACTTATCTATTTTACGACACACATATTCTTGGGGATCATATACCAGGTTTTATGTTGAATTGTAATGATCAACGAAAATGCGAAGTTGTTCTGATCAGTTAAGAATTGTAATTGTCACTTTAAAGTGTTAAGCACTGTCGGTGCTAGGGGCGTGGGCGATAGCTTGCATCTACCATTCATATTCAAAAACAGACTCAGTAACATTTTCAATGTCATGTTGCTCGATCTTGAAGGTTTCTATTTTTTTACTATTTTTAAGTTACACTTTCTAACAAAAGAAATCTTATAAAAACTTTAGATAATTTTTCTTGTCTTATTGGAGTATATTTATTACCTGGACAAGATGGTGATTTACAAGGCTTATTGTCTATCCTTTCTCCTTTGCATTCTAAACCTTTGTTGGAAGGCGCTGGATTTGTACATGTCCTGACTATAGTTTGCGTACCATCACCACATGTGACATCACATGCTGACCATTGCGACCAGTCCACCCAGCTACCATCAACTGTTTTGAGAGTAAGGAAAAACAATGCCGATAGAAGTAAAATGATCGTTTTATCCTATTTTGAATTAAATCAAATAGTTTATTAACTATTTTATGAGTATGGTTGATTTAATTAAACGGTTTAAAGGTTTAAAGCTACATTAAATAAATTTCATAAAAAAAAGAAATAGTAACATTTCGTTAATTAAATGTGTTTTAAATAGACTACCGTTCTTATTTTGGTGTCCAGAAAACCAAAAAGAGTTTTACAAGCATAAGAATCTGCATTCTGGCAAAATCAGAGGTATAATTTCTGTTGGCATAAGAAACTCCGCCTTTACGTCATCATACATCAAAAGAAAGTCAACAAGCATTTTTAAGTAGCAGTATATTTCCACATTGTGTTACAAATATTTTCATACAAATTCGCCCTTTTTATAAGACAATTACATTTTTATTAAGGACAGGACTAATGCACCGTGGAACATAAACGATGAGAATTTGTTTGCACAATAATATCTCATATTTCTGTGATCCACATGGTAACAATTGATGACGTAGCGCATACACGAGCTTATTATACAAGATAAGTCTTCATTTGCATGTTAAAATTCGTTAATGAAATTTTCTTTTACCGTTGGGTTTTCGTTTTAAAATCATAACTTATGGGTTATTTTAATGAGATTTACAACAATAATGTTACAAATGTTCACGAAACTATAGAAAGCTTGGTTTTTAAGCCGACGGAAATTTTTTCAAAACATATTTTATTTAATGCGGCTTTAAGGATATCAACCTGAAGTATCAACATCTGTTACCTAGAAGACATAAGTTACAGAAGCTACGACATATTCGTTTGGCATCGTGTATATCAATTATCTGATTAAGTTTTGCACAGTCAATACTTTTGTCATCTTGGCACTTTGATGCTAAAAAGAAGATAAAAAAGAAAAACAAAATTAATACAAGAGTTAGCGCGACGAAACTTCAAAGTGTCGAATGGCGAAACTCATAATTAAATTGAATGATTTCACGTTTGTGCAAATAAGGAAGCATCAACATTTTTAACCACATTTATACCTTATTGTTCTTCAAATAAAAATATATTATCACAAATTAAGATATTAGGAATACAATATGAATTGATAGTGCACAGAGATTATCTAAGATCATTTTCCGTAATCATTATGCAATTATTTTTACAATCTTCAACACTCTCGTGAAACAGCGTGAACATTGGTCCGACATTGGACACATGAAAGAAAAAACAGATATTTAAAATTAGAATAGGTTACCTATTAGTGCATGTGGTAAAATTTAAAAAAAAACACTAATATTTGACATGTTTGATTCAAACTGTTATGTTAAGAATAAAAATATCCTTTGTTATCAGAATTTAGTTATGGAAACTGTTTCAAATGTTTTTTCTTTTCACTTATAATACGTCAAGTGATATACACACCATTGCTTCTCGTAGATCGAAGTAGAAAAAGAAATGACCCTGAAAATAGACAATTATAATGATTTTGACAATAATTGCATTGGAACAAAAAGTTTTTTAAAACATTCATTTTCACATATGCTAAATCTATTAAACAGTTGCTGGTTGGGACTCCCGAAGCCGTACCATTGTGCATTTTTTGGAATTTTAAAATGTCAGGTTTTAGCAGTCTCTTGAAAAAACAATGGATTCTAAATATAAAAAATGATTATGATAATATGCACCAGAATCTATTGCAATGTATATGAATTGTATGAACATATCTTACTAATACAAGACCAAGTTTCTTTCTCATATCGATACATGGGTTTTTTTCCTACTTTTTCTAAATAAATCATATATTTTGCTAATATATTAAGATATAATTACTTTTTGACAGTTTTTATTAACATCCACATTTTTAAATTATAAATTATACTGTTGCGCCTAAGTGTAAGGCTGCGAAAATTTGTGCTCCTTAAATTTAATTTATTGTGCTTTAACGAATAAGTAGATTTTGCTGGAAAATTGCATAGTGTCTTATTAGTATATTAGAAATATTGTGTGTGAATAATCCTTGGATATTTCATTTCCTAATTGGATTCTGATATCAAACAATTGGATATATATATAGTTAGAAGAAAATATTTTGTAAATATACATGTATGGTGATATAAATTTTAAACCTGGATAATAAAATAGACAACAATGTGCTTTATACGATACAATAGAGATCAATTGTTAAAACTAGCAAAACCACCCCGAAGCAACATGGATTAAGTAATGATACCATTCAAACTTTAAAGGATTATAATCTTTTTCAATATAGAAATTCTAAAGGTGGACAAAATAATAAAAGAAGAGAATGGGACACAAATCAAGGCATTCACCTGAATAATCTGAAAACACTTATAATCAAATTATACCTACAGTTGAATCAAACAGTAAATTACAGGGGGTCGAACATAAAACCAGGAGAAAGTTGATTAAGGAAAATTTGATTCAAGTTAAACCAATTTCTAACAACTACAGTCAGTGGTTCAAAATATATGTCAATATGTTTGATAAACTGCAGATCAGTTAAAAACAAAACGTTAGCCATCTATGACTTTATTATTTCCAATGACCTTGACATGTTGGTTATAACAGAGACCTGGCTTGGGAGTAAAGTAGACAAAGTGTATCTTAGTGAACTTGTGCCTGACGGTTATAAAATCTCTCATGTTCCTAGATTAAAGAGAGAAGGTGGTGGTGTTGCCATTCTTCACAAGACCTCAATAAAAATAAAAATTGACTCGTCAAGTAAAGATGGAGACTTTGAACAATTCGAATTCATGGACTGTATCATTAGTGTTCGTGACTTTTCAACCCGCCTTGTTGTAATATATAGACCTCCTCCATCCAAAACGAATGGCCTAAGTACTTCAAAATTCTTGAACAATGAGTTTCCTGATTTTCTGTCGAAATATGCTGAAACTGACAAAAACCACAGTGTTTCTAGGAGATACAAACTTTCACATTGATAAACTTGATAATCGTGATGCGCAGAATTTCTTATCCATCCTGAACACATTTGGATTAAAACAGTTAGTCAATGAACCGACACATGTAGCTGGACACATTTTAGATGTAGTCATAAACAAGAGAAAATGAAAATTAGTATCTGATATTAAAATAACTGATCCTGGATTTAAAACTTCAAACGGAAAAGTAACACGTGACCATTTTGCTATCCTAATGAAAGTTAATGTTTCGAAACCACCACCTATTCGTAAAACAGTCACATACAGAAAATCTCGTGATATAAACATTGAAGATTTCAAAGCAGATATTAGATCATCTGAACTTTTTGGTCCTAAACCAGACAGCATGGCAGAAGCATCAGAGAAATATCACACTGTCCTTTCATCTTTGTTAGACAAACATGCACCTGAGAAAACAAAAAACAATTGTTCTCAGACCCCAATGCCCGTGGTTCAATCAAGAAATACATGATGAGAAACACATTAAACGTAAACTTGAAAGAAAATGGCAGGAATCAAAATTAACTGTAGATCATGAAATATACAGAAGTCAGTGCTTAGTTGTAAATGATGTAATTGAAAGATCTCGTGAAACATATTACAAAGACAAAATAAAATCGTGTGTAATGATCAAAAACAAATTTTCAAAGTAACAAATCATCTCCTTGGAAACAAACCTGAAGTTAAGCTCCCATCACACACTTCTGCTAAAGAACTAGCTCAAGATTTTAGTGATTTCTTTGAAAACAAAATTGAAAAAATCAGATCTGATATAGCATCTAAAAATGAATGTAATATAACAAATGAATCTAATTCAACTCAAATACAAAAGCCT